GACACCTCCTTACCACGAAAGACTTATCGTCAGCGCATGGCCATCGTCACCCCTTCCAATCAACGCATCGGCCATCACTTCTACCAGCCAATCGTTGTCTTGTTCACTTTCCCTGCCGTGGCCTTTGCTGCACTCACTTATGGGACCCTGCTGGCGTGCATGGCATTGATGAGCTCATTACAGGCCGTCTACCTGTTGCAACCACCGTACAACTTTGGAGCCTCTGGCGTTGGACTCATGAATATTGCTCCGTTCGTTGGCACTTTCTTTGGATTCTTCGCGGGTGGTTTCCTGAACGACAGATCGATCATGTACTTCGCTAGGCGGAATGGAGGCATCTACGAACCAGAAATGCGCCTGTGGATCACTCTTATCTCAGCATTCCTGCTCCCGGGCGGTATCCTGATGTTTGGGCTAGCCTTAGCCAGGGTATGTTGGTAGCACCTGGCTGTAATGATGGTTCACTAATAGCTTCTTCAGGGCCTGCACTGGATGATATTGGCCGTAGGATTCGGGCTGTTCGGTTTCACATTTGTCCTAGCTAGTGGTGTCGCGCTATCATACGTGACAGATTGCTATCAAGAGGTGAGTCGACAGCTCCCAGTCTATTCGAAGCGGAGTTCCCACTGACATGACAACCTTCAGATCCTCGGAGATGCTATGATAGGCATCGTCTTTGTCCGGAACCTATTCGCCGTGGTCATCCTCTTCGCACTCACGCCGTGGACGAACAATATGGGTATACAGAACGTCTCCATCATCACGGCGGCTGTATGCTTTGCGATCTTGCTAATCCCCATCCCCTTGCTATTGTGGGGCAAGAAGATCAGGGTTGCGACGGCGACGAAATACAAGCGCATGGCAATGCGACAACCAGCCCATAGAACACTTGAGTAGTGTTCGTGATGGGTATCGCATCGCTACGCTGTTCCTGGGAAAAGCAGAGCGGTTAGAGTGTCCCTGCACAAACAACTTCTTATGGTATCTTCATCCCACCCAGATGCTTTCCACCAAGGCATTGTCTTTTGGGCTGTGTGCTCTCCATAGTCGAGAGCTTCATCGTGGAAGCCACGAAACGATCTCGCTCCAATGAATTTGAGCCGTGCTATCTTTGATGACCCAAAATGCCATGAGTTGCTTCTTGACCTTTGTTCGCAATTCTTTCGAAAACTCGATGACGACGTCGATCTTGTCGAGCGCCATTTCGCGCTGAGCAGAATCGACCAGCTCGAAGCAAGCAAATACATATGGGATAATGGCGCCTGGCACCGAGCGCTTGGTGATTTGGAGTATCATCCGCAGCTCTTCGAAGATAGCATTTGAAATGACAGTGCCTCTCGCTGACGCTGTGCCATATGGATGTCGCAGTCGATGTACGATAAGCAGCACCGACCAGCGATATAGTTTGGCTTGAGACATGATGCTAGCCACCTCTTCCTGCAAAAAACGGCTGATTTGCTCAACGGGCAGGATTGGCGTCCAGGCCTCGACGGCGACTTCGATGTCGTTCAGAGCTTGCGTAATCTCAGATAGATCAAGGTTCGGATTCTGGCGTAGCGAGTCGGTGATCTTGCAAACATCGTAAAGATACGGTAGCATAGGCCAGGCAATTCCCATATATCGATCAACCATGTCATCGGTCTCTTGGACTTCGAGCCGCAGGGTTGGAGCCTCGCCCCGTATGATGCACTCTTCGGTCTCCGCCTGAATGAGGCAGATGACGAAGGCCTGACAGTCCGGACTGAGCTCCACTGTCGATTCGTATATGGGCTTGATGATGTCGAGAGTGTGTCGACAGATCTCTAATGAGCTCCCGGATATGTGCAGGGCAAACGTGATGGCGCTCACTGCAAGCATCAACACGGTCTGAACGTCTCCAGGGTCGACGGCTTTAACAGACCGTAAAGTGGAAACGGCAGAGGCAGCCCGCCTGTGGCCAATGACTCGGTCCTCATGGTTTGGGCCAGGCTCGTACTCGCAAGCTAGGAGGGCCGCGGTGGCTATCAACGAATCTTGTACCCACGACGTTGCGTTGTGGAGCTGACGCGCGAAGGCTTTGTGGTGGCAGATGCGGAAGCTTGGCGCGATGAGGAACTGGTCGATGCGCGTTTGGCCTTGGGATACGCCCTTGACGAGGTGCATCTCCCGCTCACTCAGATCCGCGAACGGGGATGGAGCCCTGGGCAGCGCGACTATGTCCCAATCCGGCATCGCTGGGCTCGCGGCCGAGGCTGGGCATCTGGGTGACGAAGAAGCAACAGAAAGGCTGTCGCTCCGAGCCGTCTGTAGCGGGCTGCGTGTCGTACCCTCGGTGCGCTGATACCGAGGTTTGCGGCCAGCAGTGCCAACTGGTCGTAGGGTCTGGCATGAGTTGCGGAGGCGTTGGCATCGCTCGCAGGCATCCTGGCCGGGGACGCGCCTGCATCTCTCTTTCACGGCATGGCACCTGTCGCATGCTCGTCTTGCTGGCGGTCTGGCCATCGCGGACGCTCTCCGGTGGGTCGCAGTGGATACATGCTCAGTGAAGGGTGGTGTCTGGAGAGCAGGCAAGGTAGCTGAAACACCGGCGGGTGCTGAGTAACGAAACACGTGCCGTCCGGCAATCCCCGCGTCGCTGGCTTCGATCAACCGAGAAAGACATCGACCTGGGATCTTGTTGTATACACTGGGATATACATTTGTGAGTTGATAATACGATCATGATGTAAGTATTTATTTTGCTCGTATTCGTCGCGTGTCGAGTCTTGGTAAGTTAGTGAGAGCTTCATGGAAGGAACGCCCCGCAGACTGGAGCTTCATGGGCGTTCACGGAAAGCACGCGTCTCTATGACGCGGCTGCCATGGAGGGAAAGCACGACAGTCATCAACATCGCGACTGGGTAAAACTTCCAAGGTTTGCGAGGCCAATATCGACGTTCTGCTCATCCACCATCCCTCATCACTCATCCACCATCACTCATCCTCATCTCATCTCTGATCTCATTCCTCATTCTCATTCTTCCTCTCTTATCTCTCATCAATACCCCGAAACAGAAGAAACAACAGAAGAAACCGAAACCGTCTGCAGCGGTGTTGGAGACAAGGCTTCAGACTGCATACACTAGCTTCACTGCACGAGCCCCGGCAACTCTGAAGCCAATCGAAGTACCTATCGACATCGGTTCCCTGGCAGAATGGGTGACTCTGCTCAACACGCCGACTGAGTTTGGGCTCCCGCTAAGTTCGCGGAGGACCGAACAGACCCGGGCCAAATCGACACCGCCATGGACCTCACCAACTGGGGTGTCGCATACCTTGAGAACGTTATGCCTGCACCAGTCAAGGCAAACATGGCGATGAAAGAAAGGCTCAAATCACCTGCTAGCGAATCCATGATGACCAATAGCTCTCCACCGCCTCTTAGTCAGTATCCAGCAGATGATGGCCCGCTCCCGTGCACGTCGTCGCTCCACTTCAACGACTGCAGCGGCACAGCAGATGATTTCGCCTCTGCCCCTGACAGAACGACTAGCGAGACCGCGATGTCTCTTGTCAAGCCATTGGAGGATCTGACCGATGAGATACTATCAGCGCTCTGCCTCTGTCTCCAGAGGAAGCAATGTGGATGCTGGGCGCGGGTGACTCAAGCCAACTTGGCGAGTACGAAGAGTAGGTGGTGCAATTATACAACGATACAGCTGCTTACCGTAGACAGCGGCCTCATGATCGAACCGCGCGATGAGCAATATCTGCCGTCGCCTGAAGACTGGATGTGTACACCAGACGGAGACCTGGCGCACGGCATCGTAGACGAGCAAGCCGACGACAACCCAGCCTTCCAATAGCCTACCGAAGCGTCGGAGGAAGCCATGACACCCCGGACCCCTCGCCTTCGGCTGGTGATGCCAAACAAGCCGGCCCTCAAGCCACGAGAGTTTGGTGAGACAGACCTACCAGGAGTTCTATGCATTCCGCCGAGCGATGACTTTAATAACCACCACGGTTGTGTCCACTTCGACAGCATTTTGGACATCGGTGGAAGCTGTTCTTGGAACAAGGGATGACTTTGACCGGGGCATGTTGATGTCGGAAAAGACCGCAGAGACGATTACAAGGGCGACGAAAACCGTGCCGCTCGATACGCCGGGCACGCGGAGGTGACGATAGGCCACAGTAAGCCGGAATCCAGGCATCTGGTCGATCCATCCGTGCGTCAGAAGCAAGAGCAAACGCTAAAACGGCTCGTTTGCGTTATCCAAATTCTTTGTACACCGCGAACAAGTGCCTCCAGATCTTCGAAGGCATTATATTTATCGGGAGGTAGAGCAAGCTTACTTCCTCTGTAGCAGTCGCGATCTAGACAGAACTGCGGAGTCACAGTAACGTCACTGATCTATCGAGCCTTGCAGACCACAAATGAATTGGCACTTGCACAAACACGATGCATATGACACGTTGGAGAATGTGCTCAAATCGCGAGTCGTGTTTGAGCGCGTAAACTTCATCCTACATGTATACATCGTCTTTGGTCCCCCGTATCTCACTAGCCGCATACGTAACCTTCTCTGTTTGTGTTTCGGGGCCCTACTCGTCTCCATGCGTGCACTTTTCTCGATGCGGAAAGAACAAAGCCCGGGTCATTCCGAGCTTCTCTTACCTGATTTTGAGAGATCTTGAGCCGCACAGCTTTCTCGATGGCTTCAACAGTATGTGTCAATAGAGCCTTTGAAGCCTGTATCGTACAATCCTGGTTCAACACCCGACTGGTCACGCAGCTTCGGGGATGACGGACAGTAGTCAGTAGGCTGCAAAGCCGTTACCGAGTAATTTTGCGTTGGTTTGTGACGTGAAAAGTCAAGGTGAGAGGGCTTGACGTCACCTAGTATCGCCGCTCCGTCACCGCGTCTTGCAATCTCTGCTCTCACCTCTGTTTATGTAAGCGAGGCTGCTCAAGTAATGAAGGTCAACACTGTTTCTGCACCCTATCTCTGCACATCTCCACCACCGCACTCGACAAAACCATGGCGGATCCCAGCGCTCTCCAAGTCGCGCTTACACAGCAAGCCGACAGCGAGATGACTGCTGCTTCCAACAATCCCAGCGATGCAGCCTCTCGAGACATCCCCAGGAACAGGCCCACCGGCGCTGACACCGTTAACCCTACATTTCCTGGCGATGACCCCAGCGGGACTGGCAGCACCAGCGCCCACGATGACTTTGCTTTCCGAAAGAGAGAAGCCGTGACCACAGCTTGGGAACAGTGGACCCGCACTAGCAAGCCAATCGATGACAAGCTCAAGGACTGGAATGACACAATCACCGACAGTCAGTTCGTCGACAGTGTCATAGCTGAGCTCGAGCGCGCTTCGTCCTCTACAGCTGCAAAGCTCATTGGTGTCCTCAAGGCCGAGAATGATCTTCTCAAGAGTTCAAACAAGACACTGACCACCCTCGCCAAACACGTCGGAGAGGACTTGGCTGGACAGACGACCTCGTCGGCTGGTGTGTACCAAGCACCCGGTCTTCAATACCCTATGCGTCCGCAGACCCTGCTTCGATGGTTCAAGCGTTTTGCTGATGCAGGATGGGCCGTACCCGCAGGTCTTTCAATGACCAAGGACAGGTTCGTTGACGAGCGTTACGGCTGCCCTGAGGATTGGCATGGCACCAATACAGTCTGCATATGCGACGACAATTCCGGTCTCATCATCCACAAGGGCTTTCGCGATTTTTTGGACCAGCAGCGAGGATGTGTCCACGAGGCACCGTATGCACTGGCGATGTGGCTCTACCTTTCTCGATACAACATCTTCTGGCCCAAGCAGACTGTGTCTTCATGGTTCTTCGAACAGGCATCGCGCATTGACTCTCGCCATCAATTGGACTTTGCTGCTATGGATGATGACCAGCACATGAAGGCTTGGCTGAAAGCCACTGCTGCCGAGCTGCCTAGCATCTGGGACCAAGTTCTGCAGCGCCAGGAAGAAGATGACCGCACGATCTCTAACAAGCTATGGGCCCCGGTCGCGAAGTTCGTGAAGGACCACGAGCACGACATGCTCGAGCCTTTGTGCGATGTCTACAACCAACTCGGCGACGACGAATTCGATCTCAACGAAGCAGAGCCCCGGATGACCCAAACTGCGCATGATGTATTTCTTCTTCGCCTCGCTCAGGGTGAGGCCCCAGCCACCGTTCTGTCTAATGACCAAGAGATGCATTCGTTCAATCACCTTCGCGTAGCCGCTCTCAAGGAGGTGCCTACTGGACCTGATCGCTATACCCGCGCTTTGGGGAAGATGATGACCTTCGATTTGCGAGTACAGTGGATGAAGCACAAACCATCACCGGAGTCCAGCCAATCCTCCATCAACATTCTCGATGGTGCCAACGCGGACGAACCGATGGTTATCGATGACGACTAGCCAGGACGACATGACTAGCGGCGTAAGCGGCAGGCTTGGGAAGTGAGGGACTGATGACTAGGTACGACGGAAGACAACAACTGAGGATACCATGGGAGGGGATATGGCGATGACTAAGTGGTATACATATGGCGCCGGCATCGGCTGGTTGCAGGGACTTCAAGGATGACTGTCTCCGATGAAGACTGTGGATACCAAATGACACTGATGAAAGTTAACATTGGCCCCAAGTGCATGGTGAATCAATGAAGACCTGATGGTGTGCTCGTGAGAATATTCATCTCTTTCCCAACGCCCATGCAGATGTGACACTTTCTTGATCCTGAGAAGTGACTGCCATGAACTTCATTAAAAGATATATCAATGCGCTATTCCTAAAAACGACCTAGCCTTCTGATCAGACATCGACCTCGCGTCACTCTCAATCGTAACCGTAACCGTATTCGTCGTCAAAATCTGATCCTCCTCATACACCGTCCCCCGTCGACTCCGTCCCATCTCTTCATCCTCCAAAATACCCCTCTGACTCCAGTCATCTCCTTGGTCCTCAATCACCGTCCAGCGCCCCTCTTTCCCTTTGCCCATCGCATGCACAGTCGTGGTTGTTGTAGAGTGTTGGCTTTGGTTCAACCGGGACAAGGGGACGCTTTGGTTGGTTTTGGTATGCGAGCGCGAGTAGGAAGATATTGTTTCCTTGAAGAAGACGCGGAGGACGGGGATGGAAGCGGCGATGATGGCGGTTGCTGTTTCGACGCCGGTCCAGATGGTGAGTTCTTTGCCGTTGTAGGAGAAGTCTTTTTGGCCGAGTTGGATTACGTAGACGCCTTTTACTATGGCGCAGACACCGGATCTGGGGAAGTCGTGTTAGTATTGTTGTTCACCAGTCGTGTAGGCTCGAAGTGACTTACAATACACCCATGCTCATGGCGATACCCACTCCAATCTTCTCGCGGAGCTTCAGTTGTAATCCCCATATGAGATACCATGGAAGCAGCGCTAGTGCAAAGTCTGCCGCAGCACACCACGCAGCGTTGAAGATACCGTAGTCGATTGAGTGGCTGGAGTCCCAGCATGTTCCGGGGAGATCTTTGTTCCAAGCTTTCGCCATGGGCTGGCACTGGACCCATGTAGCCAGCGCACTTGGCAGCATTATGAGGAAGAGGGTCACGATGCAGAACCATACGAACCCGCGCAGGTAACCGGACGTGAGGCGGAGGAGAGTGACACCGAAGGATATCTTCGAGAGGGTGGAGGCGAAACACGAGATCGATGCGGCGACGGACATTCCGACTGCGATAGTCATGAGGTATTTGGTGTCGACATCTTCCAGTCGTTTCCCGAATCCCATTTGTTGTCCAACTTGTGTGATGATAGCCTGGGCGAGAAGGAGGACCTGTTCATTCCCGTTAGAGACATCATACAGATGGAAGACGTCGACTTACCCATGAGACAGTCAGGATATGATCATCCCACCAAAGTCCCTGCTTCCTCGACAACTTCGCGTAGAATCTCAAAGCCAAAAACCCACCACTCAATATCGTCAACATCCACGTTACTCCAGCAATTACAGGGCCATTATCCGGCACACCCATCTCGGTGCGGATCAGTCTGGAGGACCACCAATTCGTATAAGCCCGAGAGAATATGCAGTCATGCGTACTGAGCGTGCATGCGAGGATCGTAGCGAAAAAAGGCAAAGAAAGGGCTGTGGGTTGTGGGGATGGGAACCCATGAAGAAGGATCAGCTCCGGCACTGCGCCCACGGTCCCGATCATACCCAATGCCTGTAGTCCATCATCTCGGTATTCGCCGTACACTGGGGCGGAAACGAAGAGTGGTAGTGATGGGATGCTAGATCGACTACTCGACACGCGACATGGCGTGTTTGGAATCGGTACACTAGAAGCATGTCGTCGGGAAGTGGAGTCGGATCAGGCTAGTATGGCGAAAACACCACAAATGTTGCAATATGTCTAGTAATGGGTATAAGTGCATTGCTCGAGCGTCAAGCCTGTAGAAGGAAGCGGCACCGTTAGCTGCACGTCCGGCAACGAATTCCAGCCAAGCGTTCATGTAGCGACGAAGAAGCCTGAGAGAACACGATCGTCTAGCGGGCTGAACTGGGATGGACCCTCCAGGTACCTGGGCCCCGGAAATGAACCACGCGGCATGGGAGCGTTGCGACCTGAAGGACGGAGTTGAGTCGTCTACATGAGGCGACGGGCGCTCCGTGCAGATGTGCGTCTAGGAAGTCTCAGACCTGCGGGATGTGCGATCGATTATACGATTCGTCGGTCCGATCATGCAGCCACTGGATCTCGAGTTCTAGGCCGTTAGCCTCGAATTACAAAATCGCATGCACTTGTGCGACCACGCCACGATGCGATGATCATATTCTCCATGGGATTTCGGGAGTTCAAAGAAACTTTCGGTGACAGAAGCTCTTGACGCCCGAAGCTAGAAGATGCCGCAAACTTTGTGGGCGGCGCTGGAGTGACGCGGCGTCGGTGTCAAAAGGCCGGCGTTACCGAGCTACCACATGGCAATAGAGTTTGCGCCACATTTAGCACGCAAGACACCCGCTAGCTCAGACAGGAGCGGACGATGTCTGTGGTCGCCGATAGCTCGCGCTGGGCTGAACGATTGAACTGGGCGGGATGATTTGCCCGAAGATTTGACGTTGGGCTGAAGCGACGAACGTGCACGAAGGCCTGTGATAAATCCGGTGAAAGGCGGGAAGGTTCGGAATCAAGTCCGCAACGACTCTTGCTACTGAGTATGTATTCAGGCTATATTGGACGGCTGATCCCCAAGCCGGCCTGTTTCCCATCCCTATACCACAAAGATGTACCCGCGACTGCTACTGGAGCATCGCCGCCAGTGTATCATACTCTACCCCTTTTTGTTGAACTGCTTCAGCTTGTCCTGCACGGCTTGCTTGAGATCAAATCCTTGCATCACGCTGCCCCTCCTCTTCCTTTGCTCGATCTCAGCCTTGACTTCGGCCACGATCTCGTCAATCTCCGCCTCGGGATCATCCGCAATACCCAGGAGAGGCATCTTGGCGTGACTCTTGACACTGTCTGACGAGTTGGTCCTCGCTAGCCTTTCTCGTCGAATCTCTTCCCGTGCTGCCTTCTCAATGGCAGGATCATCGTATGTGGTGGCTGCCGCTGGGGGCGCACGAGCCGTCTGAAGTTGAACGAGCTGCTTGCGGATGGGGAACGACCGCGAAAAGACAGCAAATGATCCGGCCACACCGATGAGAGTGTAGAAGTAAACCCGTGCCCAGATCTTGATCGTATCCGAAAAGCCAAGAAGGATGAAGGGAGCGACTACGAACGCAAACACAGTCTGTGTAAGGACGACGCAGAAGAGGTCGTAGTATCGCTTCGAAGGTAGAGGTGATTTCCCGTCTGGCGTCATGAACAGCGGACGGATCAATCGGCGGCCATCTGGTGAATGTCAGCATGAAAGCAGATAGCGCATCATCAGAGACCTACTCTTCGCAGCAGTTTGTACAAGAGCTGCCAGAATGAACGCCATGTAATAGCCAGGGTAGAATCCATGCCAGAATGCGCTAGTCACAAATGTGGCAAGCGTAGCCCTGAAGCCAGGTTTCTGTCCCTTTGGTGTCACACGAAGATACATGTAGTTCTTCAGCCAAGTGTTGGTGTTGATGTTCCAGAAACCAAGGTAAGCACGAGCATTCTGCGCGGCCTCAATCTCGAGTGGCTTGATGTTGGTGAGACGGTCCCATTTAGCTCGACCAGTCTTGGGGTCAAGACCGTTGTAGCCGATTCCGGAAAGGATACAAGATCCCTCAGATAGACTCCAAACTGCGTAGTACTTCATACGCGTGGTAAGACCAAGCATGTAGAGCTGCCAGATCCTGCGGAAAAAGTTGTATTGCATGTATTCATCCCCGAGGTAGAATTCAGGGTAGTACCAGCTGGAGAATTTGATGAATGCGACCAGCCAGAGAGTTCCGTAGACTCCTTTGGTTACGGCAGGCATGCCGCTGCGAGGAATCTTCCGCTTCTTGCGCGTTGGGGGTGCCTTGGACGGATCGGTGCCTGGTGGGAGGGTGAACATGGTCGTAGTGATGTACTGACTGTAATCGGCGTAGTCAAAGGCTGGACCAGCCATGAGGGCAGGAAAGAAAAAGACATAGCCGACGTAGTCGATCATGCTGGGCATTGTCCGGATAGCGTGGGCGCGCTGTTGCTCGGAAAGCTCAGAGTCCGGAAGGCGACCATCCTGGACGTTCCAGCAGAAAGCAGTCAGCTTCATGACCAGGACCATTTGAGCTCCGGTAATGTCAAAGACCGATGGGTCATTCACAGCTTGTCGGTAGATGTGGTTCACCGACATGTGGCCCATAAGGAATACAAATCCGATCCATGGCATATACGGCGAATGAATTTTGGAAGAGATGAGATAGGCCCCACCGGCACTGATGAAGATGGTCCGCAAGCCGGTCCATAAGTCAAAAAGGCCAACAAGGTAGAACATGGAGACGCTGGAGCCATTAACATCAATTCATCCGAAAGAAGATCTGACGAGCCTCACGTAATGACGAAGACATTCTTCTTCCATGGGTCCTTGTCGGGGATCCTTTTCAACACGGCAGCTAGAGGATACGACAGGTAGAAGGAGAAAATGAGCTTGACTGGGTGGAGTCAGCACAACATCAGCCACATGTGCCATGCGAGATCTTACGCTCATCAGCCGAATTTCCAAGCGCACCAGCCACATATTCAAAAGCTTCACCATGGTCAGTATTGGTGGTAGTGGCTCAGCATGCTAACACGTACGTGCGTTGATGTAGGGCAGCATGGTGCCAACTGTCAAGTGGACTTGAGTCCAAACCCGGGAGACAAGAAGGGAACCAGAAGCGGTGAGAGTTGAGAACAGCGGTATTATATGTAAGGCATCGGTCCTGTGTCGGGCGGCGGAAAGTTAAGTGAGAGTATGCAGGCTGTGGTGCATGGTGGGTGAGCAGCCAAGATGACGTCGGGGCACGTTTGCCGAGGCCCGTGCAGGGCAGCTCAGCGCTCACTGGCCAACAAATTCGCGATAGAGTTGGGACGCGACTTCGCGAATCCTCCACGGGCGCAACCACGGCGCATTCTGGTGACGGCACTGATAACGGCCCTGATAACGCACCTCGATAACGGAACTCCGTCGCTGACATGGCCACGACATACAACCTCGAGCCGAACCCGACGGCCAAAGTCGTCCTGCACACGACCACGGGCGATCTCGAGATCGAGCTCTTCGCCAAGCAGACGCCCATCACGTCGCGCAACTTCCTGCAGCTGTGTCTCGATGGCTACTACGACAACACCGTCTTCCACCGCCTGGTCAAGGGCTTCATCCTGCAGGGCGGCGACCCCACGGGCACGGGGCAGGGCGGAGAGAGCAGCTACGATGGCGAGCCCTTTGCCGACGAGTTCCACAGCCGGCTGAAGTACACGCGACGGGGGCTGCTGGGCATGGCCAACACGGGCAAGAAGGACGACAATGGCAGCCAGTTCTTCTTCACCCTGGCTGCCACCCCAGAGCTGCAGGGCAAGAACACCATGTTCGGCAGGGTCGCGGGCGACACCATCTACAACCTGATGAAGATGGCCGAGGCGGAGATACGCGACGGCAGCGACGACCAGCCCATGTACCCCACCAAGGTCACGGGCGCCGAGATCATCATAAACCCGTTCGAGGACATGGTCAAGAGGGTGCAGGTGGCTACGACGAATGAGTCCGAGACCAAGAAGCCCAAGAAGGCGAAGAGGAAGGCTGGCAAGAACGTGCTCAGCTTTGGCGATGAAGCCGAGGCTGATGCGGCGCCGGTCGCGAAGAAGCCCAAGTTCAACACCAAGCTAGTCAGCGCAGGGGATGAGAAGCCTGCATCCAAAGCACCCGAGGAGACGAGAGAAATACCCATACGCAAACCGTCGCGAAAGTCGCCGCCACGATCCCCATCGCCCAAACCTGCGCACAAAGCCACACCCAAATCACCACCCAAACCCAAAGCGCGCACCCCACCACGAGAACTGTCGCCTGAGTCCGAGAAGCGATCGAAGTTAGACCGCGTCAACCAACAGATCGCTGACCTTAAGGCATCGATGAAGCGGAACACAGCTGCCCAAGATACAGGGCCAGCCAAGAAGAAGTCGCTACTGGAGTCAATGGTACCGTCAACTACAACACGGGGACGGAAACGCGGAGCAGGCGGCAATGCAAAGGACGAACAGTCAGCGCTGGACATTCTCAACCGGTTCAAATCAAAGCTGGATTCAGCAGATTCTACAGCCGCCCCGAAGATGGCCACTCCAACATTACCAGAAGAAGCACCGAGCAACCAAGCCAACGGAGACGCGATCGGAGCCGACGGAGAAGAAGAAGGCGCATGCGATCTACACTTCATAGTAGGATGCCAGTCCTGTAAAGCCTGGGACAAGCAGGATGAGGAGGAGTCTGATGACGATGCAGGGTGGATGTCGCATTCGCTCAGTTTTGCAAAAGACAGGTTAGGGAAAGACTTGGAGTGGAAGCGGAAAAACGAAGAAGAGTTATTGATTATTGACCCGAGAGAGGAGGCGAAGCGGCATAAAGCCGAAGGGAAAAAGGACAAAAAAGCGCGCGAGGATGCAAAGGCAACTAAGGTCAAGGCTTGATGTAGTTTCGATACCCAGAGTTTGCGTTCGACCAGACAGGATTGGTCACCGTCTCGCGACATATGGAAGTACTGGATATAGGGCCTATCTGCTCGAGCACGGTACCTGCCAATATACCCATGATATTCCCCTCGTCACTTTGATCTGTAATCCCATAGCCTGCCTTCCGCATCGGTCCTGTCGTATCTCGACAAATTTACGTGCCTTCACCACGTCACGCACGTGGGAGATACGCTAGCGGTGTGAAGGCGGAGAAGAGTAGCGGGCAGAGCTGCGCCCTTCCGTATCTTACCGTCACCTTCACTTTTCCCGCCGTATATCTTGAACCTTCTGCCACCTGAACCCTGCTCTCACACACTCTACCGCCCTAACAACAGTGACAACATCAACGTCTGTCATCGAGACTCCGATCTAACACACTAGCTTCACCAACCATCTCCAACAAGTAAGTTCTCCAGCTGCCCAACATTTCCCCAAGTGAGCGCACTCGCGCCTCGACGAGTAACTACAACAGCTCGACACAGCCGCCCACAACCTCGACCCATGCGCTTCCTCGCTCTCATAGCTAGGAATAATCGCTACCCCATCCAAGCTCCTGAAGCATCACAATCCATCCAGCCCTACTAACACTCACCAGCCTCGTCACCACAATGCCGATCACCTGGACCAACCCAGAGGTACTCGAGCGCCTGTTCATCGCAACACTCTCAAGCTTCGATAACAAAGTAGGTCCATCCCATGCTACAAATCCTCTACTACAATCCCTCTCAACCATCCATACTACCATACTAACCACCCCTTCCCTCCAGGTAAACATCCGCGAAATCGCCACTCTCTACGGCGGCGAAATGACCTACGACGCGCTTGAGAACCGGATGCGCAAGTTCAAGAAGGCGGCCACTGCGCTCAAGGACGAATCCGCCGACCGTGAAGATACTCCCAAGAGCGCCGCGAAGCCGCGCGCGAAGAAGGGCAGTGCTAGTCCGGTTAAGGGTGGTGAGTGTTTTGTGTCATTGGATGACAAGACGGACGTACTGACTAAACGTACAGCTGTCAAGACCGGTCGCGTTACCAAGAAGAAGGCTCCGGCTGCTCCCAAGATTAAGCCTGAGCCGGTCTTTGAGGAGGATATGCAGGGTACCATTGAAGAGGGTCTAGATGGTGGTAATGAGGTCATTGACGAGATTGAGGAGGTCTAAAGGAACTGGTGTCTCGGGGGCTTTCACTGGTCATTGAACAGTCATGCGCTTCTGTATGCCTGTGCTTCGCTGTCGACGCGTATACGCCGAGACTAACCGTCAAAAAAGTTGAATCGAAGTCATCAAGCGCGCGTTAGCTTCTATGCTACGCAAGTATGCTCACTGCAGTAACTACAATCTGCACCTCTACGTGTTCAAGCTCTTGCAATTCTTCTGAATACATGGTGTACACCCTCTAAATCCACGTAGATCCGCTCACTCCAGCACTCACGTCCCCCTTATCTTCCCCACATCTAACCCTACTCCAGCAAATCAAACCTCTTCCTCCCCTGCGGCGTCGGCGTAACAGATACATACCCACCACTCCTCCTCCCATCCTTATCCTCATCCTCATCACTGTCCTCCGCCGTTGGCGTCCCTCCCCCAGCTAAATGGCCCATGTCATTTCCGTCGAAGATCATACCACTACGCCTCCCACTCCTCGGCGCATCACCCAGAGTCATCGGCCGCGTCGCACTGCCGTTTACTGATGAAGGTGAGGGCGTCAGTGGCGGTGGGAGTGCCGAGAGCCGGAGAGTGGGCAACGGAGAAGAATGCAAACTGGAAAACACGTCGTCGTATTTTTGAGCTAGGATCTCGGAGCTTTGGCGATGGTGCGTGGTGATGTCGAGGCCCTGTTCGAGGGCTATAGCGAGGGCTTCGATGTCGCCGGTAGAGACCGAACGAGGGCGGGTAGGGCGTAGGGGCACTTGTGCAGCGATACGTCCTTCGCCGTTGGCGTTCTCACTGCCTGGTGTGTTATCGGGCCAGTCATCGTAGGGAGGCGAACGGATGTAGCCTGCAGGTTGTAGGCGGCCGAGTTTAAAAGCCTTCTGTGCGAGCTTCTCGTTTGCTTTGATCAGTCTCTCTTTGTCCTGTAGTAGGACAGCGATATCAGAACGCAGTTCTCGATTCTCGGCTATGAGCGCAATCGCATGATTACGCGATCGCTCGACCTCGTTGTCGTTCACTGGAGATGAGGACGATTGCAGAGTCTGGTGTTCGTGTTTGTTGTGACCGTGACGAATACCATAACGCTCCAATGGTACATTGCGCTCTTGTTGCATGGCTTCGTAGAGATAGTTCATCCTGATGCCTTCTGTCATTTCCTTCGGGAGTTGCTCTGATGTTGCAACAGTCGTAAGCGGTTTGCCTGTACGCAGATGAGCGATACGGGGGCCGACTACCATGTCCAGGAACGCACGCAAGCGTTCTTGAATGATCGTCTGCCACGATTCATACTGTGTCCCTTTTTGTGGCTTCAGATGGTTTGCCAACTTGTGCAAGTCTTCCAATTTCGACTGCGCGGCCTCGAGAGCTTCCATCGTCGTAGTATCATGCTTTGGTGATATGCTTCCTGCTGCAGCGAGAATACTGTGTTTCATCTTCTCTGGATCGGCGAAGCGAATCAACAACGTGTGGACTATCGGGCGCGATAATCGAATTCGGTCACAGATGGAGTCCAACACAATCAGATCGAGGCCATATCCATCACCCGCCTCTTGTGTCTTTGCCAGGAACTCTCCCAGCGCAACCCACCCACGCATGTCCATGTTGTCGATTGGTGCATACCAAGCCTCTGGGGTTTCCGGCAGCTCAACGACCTCGTAGTAAAGTATCCAGATGAGGAAGTTAGAGTGCTGCGTGACGTTTAGGGCGTCTACAAATGCTTTGGCGAACCTCGAGATGATGAGTGGTGACGCTGCTGGTACCGGTGATGACGACGGTGGCGTGAGCACTCGATTCTGTACTTCTGGCTCGCGAGATCTGCCGAAGAATCTTCTCAAGCCATTCTGACGCCGCTCAGGTTGAGAGACAGGGGATTGGGATGACGTGGGAGTCGAAGGCCGCATGTTGACAGATGGTGTAAGACGGTCCGGCCGAGACTTCCTGCCCATCCTGAGTATGGAAGGCTTGCGCTGAAGCTGGTTTGGTGAGGCCATTACTGTTGGTGGTTGCGAAGACTCGCCAATACGGAAACAGAGTAGGCTGGTTGCGGCTGTGTGCTGGTTGAAGTCTAGTTAGGGTGCTCGCGGTGAAGCACCGGCAACTCATTACTCGATGTTAAGTGATTCGAGTTTCACTACCTCAAGGTAAGCTTTTCCAATGGTTGTGATTGACGTGTAAAAGTGATTCGTCGCATGCAGCCTAAGAGAGGCTGATTGAATCGCTCATACCGACCCAGGTAGACTCTGGAAAGTGGCAACCACACACGGATTCACTCCAGAGGCTGCAGGTGAGTGGATCCTGATAGTAGGGACTGCTACCATGGCGCAACCCAATTCCTGCGCAATGTCAATCACCAGCTGCCCAATATCAGTATAGTCTGAGCACCGAGCAGCATTAGTCAAAACGCTGAGCTCGATTGCTTGCAACAGAGAAGGACGGACAACTGATGTTTCATCGGCCGCAATTCATTCGTCTCAACAGTGGCTGCCTTCACTTCGGAGTATGTCGAGGTGCTTCTTCGTATATTTCGCATGGAAGTCGTTAACAGTGTTATATTGATTCGTCTACGTCCGTGTTCATATCGGTAAATATCGTGTTGTAAAGCGCGCATCGGTATGGTAGTTGGGTGCGTCTGTTCTCGGCTCTAATCTTCGTCGTGACTTAGTTGCTCGTCATCCGCAAACATCTTCGGTAGATATAGTTTCGTGTTCTCATATACTAGGAAGGTGACGACTGTGGTTGGGATGACTCGTAGCGTGTTGGGTATAACACTGCGAAGGTTAGCCTTGTTTTCCACTGGTGTGTAGAGCGCAGGGACTTGCTTACCCCTTGTAAAACGCCAGAAACCCTTCGTTCTGGTACGTCTTCCTGAGCACATCTAGCAGGCCGTTGTACTGCTGTGCAGCGTTGTATTGCTGCAACCGCGCGCGTATGGGTTGGTACGGGTACGTGATTGCTCCAGCAAGCAGCTTGCTTCCACCGCTCATATACACATATTCCCAATTGCTCAGCTTGTCTTGCCCGCCGATATGCGTCCCCCTTCTCTTCTTCATATTCTCGTATATGCTGAACTGTACTGCACCGTGCAGCACACCTAGTGATGAGGGTAGGAAGCCTGCCCAAAGCCCCTTAAGTCCTCGGGTTTCGTATACGTGTTGGAGGCCAATTTTCATGGACTTGTATGCGGCAGGGTGGTTTGCGCCACGCTCAAGCATGCGAGTTTTCACGACCCAGATTGGGTTCGTGCAAGCACCGGTAAGGAGACCTGGCAAACGGTTAGCGATGCCCATAGGTGTTCCGTGTCTCCAAACATACCAGCGATGATGCTCGCGGAGAAGAACTCAGCACTTCCTAGATGCTCGCCCTTCTGCCTCCTGCGCTGAAACAATTCTTTCAGGTTTCCATAGAACAGGAAGTATAGACCCCAACCCAGACTGTTACCGAGAAGGTTCGGCCATAGTCCCCTGTATAGTGCGCGTACGCCTCCTTCATCTCTGATAACGTTCCGCAGAATTCGGTAGGAGTCGCCAGGTCGCGATCGACTGGTGGTGTTGAGTTGAAGGCGGTTCTTCAGCAAGTCGAGTGGATGGGCAGCGAGACAAGAGACAACGCCAGCGCTGAAGCCGGCTACGCTCTCAACCAAAGATGCAGATAGGGCGCTCCTGGGCACGTTTGCTCGTTTCGTTTTATCATTTTGCTCTACGGGTGGGAATGCGCGGGGCATTGCGGGTTCGGATGGTGGGCCGTCCAAATCGGCAGGAACATCCTCAGGCTCGGTGGGATGAAGAGGGTGCTGAGATGGTTGCGATATCGGTGCTATATCATCGCGGCTGCTGTGCGTGACTGGAATCTGCGCGGGCGATCGTGGAGGGGAGAAGATGTCGGATGCGGACTCGGTGGAAGCTTGGGCCCACCTGCGGAGCTACTACCCGCGAACATCTCGCGTTGGACTACGTCACCGCACGTGGCCAGCACTGTGAGCAATGCAGCATGCCGCGATGGTCTGCCTGGGCGGCACATTCACAAAGGTAGAAAGCTCTGATGATCACTTCGCTGAAGAAAACTCTTTATTATGAACACACTAAACATACATGCCGCACCTCTTTCATACGCCCGCACCAAACTTCTGATCCGAGCAACAAGTCGCGGACGCCGCACTCTCAGGCTTCTTCTCCTCACCAAACGCCATTCGACTCAGCTTATCCACAAGCGTACTCCCCTGCTTAACACCACTCGGAACGCTGCAATAGCTAGGTGGAATATCCATACAAGGATTACGTGTGAAGAAGTTGCGCGGTCGCAGCAGTAGCGTCATGGGCTCAGCAGGCATAATCGGAAAGTCTTCCGGTGATGGGAAATGCGTGATTCCGAATGTGTGCCACAGTACGACGTCGGTGTTGTCGAGGTTCTCGTTGGGGTTGGCTTCGATCCAGGCGGGTATGCCTTGGGATGGCTCGCCAGATGTCTGGGGGACGTGACGGCCTGCTGGGTGGAGTTGTGTGTCGTCGTCTATTGTAGGTCAGTCAAGGGCTTCGTACGTAATTCTCTGGTGAAACTCACATTTTGTGACATGTACCGCATGCCTTGCGAAACCGGCGCGCTTCCATACCAAACTTCCAGGCTTGGGTAGTAGATCGGGAACCTCTCTGCTGACTAGCTTGTATGAAGCTGGCTTCTTGCTGTATGGGTTGAGCTTGTTCGTATTGGCCATCTCCCATGTCCTGCTGGTTGCGCCGTTGTAGTCCGTTGCCGCCTGCTCAGGGGTGCTGAGCTTCGTCTTCTTCGCGTAGAAAGCGTTGCCGTATTTGTTCTCCGCGCTACCGACTTCGCCTTCTCCGCGCATCGCGTCGACCATGAAAACAGTGTTCTCCGGTCCGTCAATGTTGGGATCGATGCGCATACAGAAGAGATGCTGGTGGTTGTGCGCGTTCACTCCGGGGTACACCTCAGTTCCCCAACCCTTCAGATCCTCGCCAGGAAGCATCGCGTAGGTGTTCAAGATACCCGTGAGTTTAATCTCCAGTTGGATTGTTCCGTCAAGGTGGAAGATCCAGTACACACAGTACTCATAGTTCGCGGCTGTGAAGATTTGCGAGATTATGAGTTTGCGGGCACGAGTAACAGTAACACTGTCATCGCGGAAATCTGTGTGCTTGAACAGGATACCAGCATCTTCTTCGTGGATGCAGATAGCATTCTTGATCGTTGTAGCCTGTCCGGCGCGGTTGACAAAGGCAGCGTCCATGTAGTGAATCGCACCCTTGCAGTCACAGCCCAAGCTAAGCGAGTTGGTCATGTAGCCACCGCCGTATTCTCCCAGATCAAAAGCGTGCTTACGCTGATGTGGGTGTTCTGGGTTGCCATAAGGTACGACCATCTCTGCGAGCGACAGGCGCCAGAAGGTATCGCGAACGGTGCCCTTGTCGTTGAAGGTGATGTTAGATAGAACAAGGCCTTCGCGGTAGTTGAAGCCAATATGGAACTTCCAGTTCGCCCAGCTGATGTATCTGCCATTCAATTTAAATGAGACGCCTTCCGGCTGTGTGATGTTGATCGGCTTCAGATCGGTCTTGAACCCACCCTCAGCCTCAATCGCAGCCGCGTGATAGTTGTTTGGCGGGGCCTGATTGAGCGGTCGCCGAACTGGTGGGACGTCGATATGAATGATCTCCTGGGTGTCGGAATTGTAGATTGGGCAGAAATCCAATGGGTACGTGTATTGGCAGTCATCGGGGTGTGGGCGGTAGTACATGAGCGCTTGCTGAAGACGAACTTTGGTGCCGAATCGCTCGTCATAACCAATCGTCCAGGGATCGCAGTACACTTTGTGCATGTCCTCTGGTGGAATGCCGATCAGGCCGCATTGTTCGATGACCTTTGGATCTTTCCGCACAATCGTCTCCACAATCTGTAGGTCTTCCATCGTGATCTAGATCCAAATCAGCAGGATTTAAACCGCACTCACGCACTCTCTAACGTACAAGTGGCTGAACATCATCAGTCAGCGCCCAGCTAATGATCTTGCCTTCGGTCAAATCTGCGTGTCCATCATACACTTTACTGCCTCGGCCAATGCAGACTACATCAGCAACTCGATGTGGTCTTGGAGCGTGCTCAGGATCTTTGAGCCAGCTCATCATCTCCGCTTTACGCGGCTCCAGCAGGGTGATGGCGTTAAAGAACACATCGCTGTGCTCTTTTCGGATGATAGCGACTGCGCGTTCAATCTCTGATTCGCTCAAAGGATCAAATGGGTGTGGAGGCTCTCCAATACCCGTGATGTGCGAGGCAGCTTGCTTCAATCGATCGAGCGCCATAGTATGGATGGATATGATGTGAGGGTGGTCGGATAAGGTTGATCGCTCAAAGCTGTCAGGGTCCAGCGGGGTCTTATATACTGGAGGCAGATCAACGGTCTAACGGCATCGCAGCGCGATCTCGAATATCTTCCTTCGAATCGAATCACGGCCTATTGGCGAATCGGTCAAGTCATTAACGCATTGTATTATTCCCATCTGTCAACTTAGAGTCTTGAACGTTGTTATCAACACGATAAGAAGAGGCCGCGGGACTATCGCGCCTCTCTTGGTTAGCCTGCCCCACTTCTCCACGCACGTTGCTCTCTGGGCGCGATGCACCGCGTGTATGACAGCTACCATCTCTGGACGCTGCACTGTCCTTCCATCGTCTATCCATCGAAGCTGTGAGTGTCGTCGCAAAATCCCGATGCAGTAGGTCCACGCGACAGGACGCTGGATGGGCAGGTACGGCGGTCTCGTCAAGCGTCGGACAAGAAGGTCCGACTGTGCGGGCTGCGAACTCCGAGATCGCGATCTCTAGACTTGGGCACCACATGGGGTCACAGTTGAGCAGACTGAACATTGTTGTTTATGCTGGCCGCAGACCTTCTACTGACGAGCAGCCCCAAAGCAAAGCACGTAAATTTGAACTCGTCTGCGAACAATTTACTGGTTGTCTTGAATGTGCAGGAGGGTTAAGTATGTACGAGGCCCTACAACCCAGAGAGTATATCCTCGGTAGCCTTCTCGCTAATCATCATAGTAGGCAATATAGGGAACCCTCCAGGTATCTTCGGAAAGGCGCTTGCATCTACGACTCGCAGGCCCTTCGTTCCCCTCACCCTAAACTTACTATCCAGTACCGCATACTCATCTCCATCGGCACCAATCCTACAACTGCTACTAGCGTGATGACTGTACGCCTGCTCCTTGATGAACGTCTTCTGGCTCTCGACCGTACAGTTCTGCTTCCCAATGATACCCTCGCAAGGGTGGAGCTCTTCGAAGGGCGCCAGCGAATCAGGTGCAGACGGGTCCACTTTTGACAGCCAGGAACGCACCCACTCGACACCTTCGTAGATGGCTTGGAGGTCCTCGTCTGCTCCATCTTTGAAGAAGTTCAGATTTATGGCCGGCATGTCGCGCGGATTAGCGGATCGGAGTTCGACTGTGCCGGCTTGCGAACGCGGATTCATGTGGACCATTGCGCACTCGTATTGTGACGGGCCGTACGTCTCGTTGAAGTACGGGGGCCGATTGGGAAAGCTATCGGAATCATTAGTGCATTCTCGGAGAAGGATGTGGGTGCTTACCCTGGCCAGAAGCCTTCGAACGCGAATGACCCACACCACATGTAAATGTCGCGAATGCCCAATTGCGAAGTAGACGTCTTCCAGAAGTTGGGGAAGATCTCCGACATACCAGTAACAGCACGCTTTCCGAGCGACAAGATGCCAGCCTCGTAGTTGTCGGCCATCTGCCTACCCACACCCGGTAGCTCTACCACGGGCGAGATATTGAACTTCGTGAGTTGATCGAGCGGGCCAATCCCAGAAAGCATAAGCAGTTGTGGTGAGTTGAATGCGCCACCAGAAATGATGACCTCCTTGGATGCGAACACTTTCCCAGCGACGCCCTTGGCATCGGCATTGGAACGAGGATCAGCACTGTACAAGCTCTTACCTTGCAAGTACTCGATACCGACTGCTCTAGGTGGTCCTGGGGACACCTCGTCGAAGATTATCTTCGTGGCAAGTGTATCCATCGAGATAGTCAGTGGATATTTGCCAGAAGCAGCAGTGTCTCTTGCGTAGTACCCCGGAGACGACCGGCGTCCATTGGGATTGATGTGGCTGACACCGCCGAAAGGCCCTACGAGCTGGTCGCGGTCTGGCTGCGCACCATTCATATCTCGCCGGAGCAACGTCGAAGCGGAAGAGGCGGGGTAGCCGGCGGCCTCTGCAGCGAGCTCACTGAGCTGTTTAGCATCCGCACTGTTAGTGTAGCCTGGGTCTAGCATGGTCATATCGAGCCAGCCTTCGTGGCCATGCTCGCATGTGCTGTTGTAGTGCACCTTCTCGAGTTTGATAAGATACTTCCTCATATTCTCGTGTGACCATGAGTCGTCTCCGGTCATTTGCGCGATCTCGTCCCAGTCTGCATCGTTGGGGTTCATGGTCAAGCAGCCATTGTGCATCGCACAGCCACCCAAGGTGCCTGCGCGCGGATAATACTGGATCATAGTCAGTAGTTGCTCTGGTCTATCGAATGGGGCCATGCTCACAATTCCGAGAGCTTCAGAGTCCTTAGGTGGCTCGATGCCGACGTAGAACCCTCCATCTGGCTTACGCCACGTTCGATGCAAGTACCTCGCTTCCCTAGCCTCATCATCAGAATGCTTCACAAAGAAGTCCCAGCGCTATGCAAACTTTTAGTCATGTCTCTACCACGATGTTATCTCTACATACTGTAGCGGGATCGTTGCCAGCTAGGTTGAAGTTCAGCCAATTCGAAACATTAAGGTTCTCCGTCTGGTCATCCCCAGCTTCAAGAAGTAACACGGAGTGACCGGCTCTAGCGAGATTGGATGCAAGCGGTCCGCCGCCAGGTCCAGAGCCTACGATAATGTACTCATAGGTTGTGTTGTCGATTGACGTTGAGACGACCGCTTGCGCACAGAGAGCTACAGCCGCAATGATTGAGCGAAGGGGAGCCATGATGGACGACGCGAAAGTGCAATTGAGCCAGGAGGTATCCAGCTTGTAACAATGGCTAAAGCCGAGCTTAAGTACTATCTCTCTTCCTATTCACGTTGACCGATGGTTGTTGCCCTGCCAATATCGCCGGATATGCAGGCACACAGCGCAATCAATGCAAGGCGATTAGCCCACCCGGGTCGACGAAGGCGTTAGATAAGTCTGCTTCCTCTTTCGAACAAGATCGTGAACAAAGATTCGTTCGCGTAACATATAGTGCGTATATTCCCTAGCTTCCGCTGTCCTAGCGACAGTGGCTGAGCGAGAAGATCAATGCTGATTCGCACGGTTATAACGCTGCATATCGTGCTGCATACCCAATAAAGCAACGAGATTGTATTGCTAGAGTGTCAGCCTTCGTGTCCATGCGATAAAAAACATGGAAGCTTGAACGGTGAGTCGGTAAATGCAATGTTGGAAGCAGAATGTAGGCTGGGGGCTGGCTGCTCATTCAGCGACGTCGACGTGACACGAACACAGTCATCAAGATCTTGACAACTTAGAGGTGAACGACGAACTATGTCGTTCTTGATTTCATAGCTACACTGCAACAAATCTCAGTTGCTACATGCGCTCGACAACTTTTCCTTCTCCGCCCCCAGACATATCCTCTGCTATCCCGCGAACGTCTCCTCACCTTCCAGCCTAGCCCACAATTTCGCTACGCCAAGTTGCCCTGCTCTTGCTTGCATGCTTCTCGATGTGGCGCTGCGCCTCCTCTTTGAACTGCACCTCGTCCCAGTGATAATTGAGAGTGACGACGGTGTTGATGGGGTCGCTGAACTCCGGCACGAGCAGAAGCGAGTAGATTGTATCGATCACGTCTTTGGTAGAAGTGTCTAGTGTCCAGTTGCGGTCTAGAATCGAATGGCAGATGCGTCCATGACGGTTGATGTTTGGATGGTAGATGGACGTAATGAAGCGTGCTTCGGGTGGTGACATCGGGTATTTGTCGCCCATCTCCAAGTAAAGGAGAAAAGTACCACCAGAGTACGTACTGTCGGGAGGTCCTATGTAAGTCAGTACGCATGCAGATGCAGAGAGGAGATAGTCTCTTGGGGAATGAGATAACAGTCGACTCACCCTGCATGACGATCTTCCAGAGCCCCATATTGGATTCGCAGATGAAGATGTCGTAGTGCGGGTGCGGCTTGGCGCCCGAGTTACGAATTTCGTTATGGATCCTGCTCAGACGCACATTGCTGTCGGTACGACTGATGGATGAACTTCGGTTGAAGAGGCCTAGCTCCACAAATGACTCTGCAAGCTGTGGATGCTGCTTGCGATCCGGGAACTCGTCGCGGCTGACATGCTCGACCTTACCCATATACTCAGCCATACGGAAGCTGTAATAGCCCGGGTTTGTGAGATAATTGCGGAGATGAACAGAACCATTGAGCGACTTATCTGGACGCTCGAATAAGGAGAGTACGGGCTCCATCTCACATATCGCCATAGCTTCTTCGAGACTCTTTGGTTGGAAGACATACCCTCCAGTCAAAAACGAAATTCCCTTGAGATCAGCATTGTCGATCCCCTTCCCCAAACAAAACGAGTCGAGTACAATGCCATTACGCAGTAAGCTCGCGGGTAGGATATAACCCTTGTTCTTCGATCGATTCTCCTCCCCGTCAGAGATGCATATGATTCTCAGCTTCGCAGTTGGGTATTGCTTGGCGTACTCCTGAAGTTGATCTTGTGCGAGAGCAATACTATCCCAAATAGCCGTATCACCGGAGGCTTTCAAGTTGTTGAGTTTGTGACGAAATTCTTCAACTGCGTGAGTGATTTCCTGCGACAGTGAGGGTCTGGTGCTGAACGTGATCAATCCAAGATGCGTCTGGAAATTGTATGCCAGTAGACGATTTATATAGGCATCAAACATCTGCTTCACGACGTCCAAGCGGGTCAGCGAAACGCGCTTCTTGCTGGAGCTTCCGGCGCTCCGTAGACACAACTTGAGAACCAAAGGACGGTTTCCTGTTGTGTCTTCATCATCGGCGCTCTCCGAGTTCTCGTCATCGACGAGCTTATCCACGCAGCTCTCGTTCGATAGTATTCCTGTAGAGCTTGCCCCGTTGAGATACAATGAGATTCTTCCCCAATGGTTGTGTATTGTTGTACCACGCCAACCATTGTCGCCAGCATCTCGCATACAGGTCCAGAAAGCCAGAGGTTTCTCTACGGCGGACATCGATCTCTCCATGAACCTCTGGCGGTAGTATCGGAAAGCAGCGGATGCTACAGATTTGGTGGTCTGCTTTGGTACCCAATATGATACAACGGGGTCGTCAAAGCTAGAGCCGCGATATATCTTGACGAGGCATAGCTCTTCCACGTTGTTGCTGTCAGTTGACGGCTTTCGCTCTAGAGGTGTGATGAATACTTCGTGGGCTGCGTTGATGATAGTTTCGATGGGTTCCGAGGTAGCCGGGACCTGTGCATTCCGATGCCGTAGCTCATAGCTCGGGTAGCGACCTTTAGTCAAACGAAAAGCAATTTCCCACAGCTCTATCGCCGTCAGATTAAATGGCAAATGCATCGAGTGTGTCTCCAGTGGTGATCTCAAAGTGACGCGGGTTGTACGGGAAGAGGCTCGTGTCCTGGGACTCTGCACATGTCTTGCCACGATATCTGAGCAGTCCAAATATGCGGTGATCTGCTCCTGCATCTGTATATTGGGGCGCAGGTCGTTGCTGGAAAGAATCAGGTTCGTCAAAGGCGAACGCTCGTTAGTCCGAAGCCATCGTTCAATCTCTTTACGCTCGTAGATGTGATTGTCAACCGTAATCACAGGATTCTGCATTACATCATTGCTGATAGGACAGCAGTATTCGCGCGGCACCTCAAATCGGGGTTGATCAGTGGCCTGGATTTCTTTGTAGACATTCGGAATGATGTCGCCCGGCTTCCAAGTCAACGGGTCGGACACGAGAGTATTGCCAAGGCAGGCAATTAGCCATGCACATAGCAGACTCTTATACTTTTGCAGGCGCAGGGACCGATTGCTGAGAACATTGATTTCGCGATCGATGTGTTCCGATCGATTGCGCAACCACTGTTGACTTGCTTGCTGCCGAAGTTTCCCTAGCTCTTCCCGTTTGGAGTCTATCTGCTGCTCGTGCAGTTGCTGGAGGATCTGTAGCACCTTCTCGGCGTTCTGTCGGCGATGATAGTCGTCTTTGCCTGTGTTGACAATAGCAAGGAAGTCGTCGTACGATTCGTGCGATCTTAGGTACTCCTTGAGCTCGTCTGGTTCGGGTAAATCGAAAGCAGGGTTTTCGACTGGTAGCGGCGGAGCAGTATCTGTAGTCGAGCGCACCTGTTGTTGAAGTTCTTCCTCGGCATCTTCGCTATGCTCTATATCGACAAAACCACAACGATGAGCCATGCTTCGGCTTAGGTCGACGCATATCATGGTTATCTCATCCGGAGTTGTCAGCTTGCGATGCTGATCACCGTAAGCCTCAAAGACAATGGTGCCGTCAGCCCTGCGCTGAGTGAGGATTGGCTCCAATAACTGGGTGATGATCGAAACGTCCACTGCTTCTTCTTCTTCATAGACAGATCTCGGCCGAAACATGAGAATATCCCTCCCGGCCTCAGCACAAGCGGCGCGTCCCACGTACACAGCAAGAAAGCCGTTTCTGTCCAAAGTCAAGACGGGAGCGGAGGCAGAAGCGAGACTAGCTGGTGGTGTGACACTCAGTTGATTACGACTGCAGAGGTTGGCCAGATATGTGAGATCAACGTACTCCGCGGGCGAAATGATCTTGTTGACATCACCACCGTCCATATAGCGAGAGCTGGACCTGGCGGCATCGGAGTTGAAGACTAGGACTTGGGTCTTGGTACCGCCGGAAACTTTGGCGATTCGGTCCCAGGTTCGGTCGACTGTTGATGTTCTCTTTGAACTATCACCATTCGTCCAGCACAAAAGCCCTTGTTCAGCAAAAGCCTCGTGGAACCCAGCATCGACAAGACCGGATGTTGTCTGCACCGACTGTGACAATACGGGCTGCATCGTGGTCAAGTTTCTCAGGTCGTAAACCTTCATACCAATATACGGTAGGTCGGCGTTCTCATTGGCGATCTTCATCTGCTTGGCTTTCTCCATTATGAGACCGAATAGCAGACGAGAGCCTTCGAAAAGCCGCTGTGTATCGGAACGAATAGTTTGCAGCGGGACAACATTCTTAAGAACCTCATAAAGACACTGTGCCAGCGCAGCACGTTCCGGAAGACACGGAGTCTCGCCGCGCATGAGGATGTGTGCAGCTCGAATGGCGGGAGGAAAGTGTGTCAAGACATCAATCATATGAATCAGAGCGTCCCGTCGCTCGTCATCCATGCTGCTATTCGCGGTGAGATCAGTGAACACGCGCAATGTGGACAGCAGGCTGGCTAGTCCACGGTCAGTTTGACCGATATGATGCTTCCAAGCTTCCGACTCCTTGAAGATACCAGCTTTGCCTTGATCAGTACGCTCGTTGCGGCCGAGTGTCCATCGCTGTACGGCGTAGATGTTGAGTATACCATTGACGGCGCAATCTTCTAATCCGGCGGCCTCGATCGTGATATCAGCGTTGTGTGCAGTGATCTCGAGTGGACACTCTGATGTGTGCACGTCGACAACTAAATTTCGCTGGGCTACGCGATCTTCTTCGTCGTCGACAGTACGCTCTCGATCTTGGCGATGGGAGTGGCATTTCTTCGAGCAGATGGCCATGACTGGGGCTTTGAGATATCTTTTGTCTCCAGAGGTCCGGCTGCTTGCGTCTTCAACACCACTGACGAAATTTATGAGTTTGTTGGTCAAGTCTTGGTTCTGCGTGTGCTCCATATACGCCTTCGTCGCCTGCCGGATAGTACTAAGCGTAATGTTATCGACTGGTATGGCGACCACTATGTTGTTAGAGTGGACGAGGATGACTGTATGGAGGGCGTCGCGGTCTCCAGATCCGTTGACGTTCAAGACGGCATTGTTGTCGATCTGTCGAGCAAGGCTGCAGTTGCACTCTAGCGCAGAGCAGTCGCCGTCCTCGGCGGGGAAACCCAAATGCTCTTGGACGAGGCCTTTCAACTGTTTCAGAGTGCATTTGGTCGAAACGTGCGTCGGTATTGGGGGGATGGTTGCAGAGTTGGACTGGGCCAACTCTGGAGTGATAACGCGAACGCGTAGCGTCTTTGTCGTTCCGTCAGACGCAGATAGTCTTAATGGTAGTGACGGACCAGGCTGCTCATCGTGCGGCTGGAAGAAGTTAGTAGTGACCGAATGTGAGCATTTCTTGGCAACTTACATGGACGACTGCATAGACGGTCTCTTCGGCGTTGGGTAGAACGTCAGACAGGAGATCCTCGACATCCAGCATTGGTCCATCTTCTGTGTTCAGGTGTAGTGTGATCTGAGCTCCCTTCGCGGCGGTGAGACCCAGATCTGGCAGGCGCGACTTGACCCTGTCGCGTAAGGCTGAGCAGAGCTGAGACGGCGAGAGCACAATGAGTAAGCTCGCTCTGCGCTCTCCGCCTGCGACGGTGACCGTGTATCTCGCCATGCTGTGCGTGCGCAGGCTGTCGCGGTCGCTGGTGTTGAGCCTGTGGTGAGGTGAGGTGGGGTGAGGGAAGGAAGTTGGTGGGGCCGGGGGGTGGTTCAGCTATGGAGGAAAGTGCGCGTGTTCACGTGCTTCTCAGCAAGCCATTACCCAGGTAGAGAACCAGACAGCCGCGGGACGACGCTGAAAGGAGGAGAGCTCGTGCGCATTGATAATTTAATTAGACAAGCAAAGTGAAAAACATGCGGTCTCGGCGATGTGTATTAGGAAGAACTGCTGAGAGAAAGCGTGCTCCAGGCAACGCGAGCCATAGACGCATTGACGTGAAAGCGAATATACCTAATTATCTTTAGGTCGCACGAAGGAAGTGACCTAGCAGAATCCACATGCATGATTTGGCTGCCTCAAAGTCCGTATCAGATCAAGATGACGATTAGTACAACGATTGCCCTAGCGGTCCTTATGTAGGAGGGAAAAGATTCATGACAAGATGCGATGCTTACTGGTGCCAGAGACAACAAGTTACCAGTATCTCATTCGGGGTCAACTCACATGTACGCGGGTAGTTGTGTCAACACATGACTGCCCGATATTGTGGAATGTCTTGTTTGTTCCTCTGATATGAACAACACATTTATTGACTTCCCCTCAGGTCGAAGTAGGCTTTCTAGTATGTTTCGAGAACGAAGCTTGACAATAAGAAGTCCGGAAGGAGCACGCGTGGATGATGTCAACAGACGAAGGACGCGTTGTTGAATCGCAATACTGCGGCCGTAGAGCCTCAGATTAATGTGTTCGCGCCATATCTCCGACGACCTATTAAAAATGTCTGAGACTAATGGAGATGAGAGTGATGGGTGGCAGTCGGAGGTGATGAGAGAGTGAGGTTGGATGAAAGCGACAAGACACGTGTTAGCGCGCATTCCGGCTTATCGATAACACTGCCGGGGAATTATCCAACTGTCCTCATGGCCCTCCACCAAACCACGACTTGCGCCAACCTGTCCTCTACCCACGCACATATCGCTACGGCCCCATAAACGTCCCACTCCAACATACATCAAGCACACATCAATCATGGAGTCACCAGACACGTTCACGCTCCTCCCTCTCGAGATGGACCCGCAAACCAGCACCATCACCGCATCTCAAAGCACCAGCAACGCCCTCCAGACCGAGCTCGACGCCCTGAACAACCTCCACAGAAACCTCCTGCACGTCGAAACCCCCACAGGCACGCCGCCGCCGCCTGTACCCGTCAACCCCAAGCGCTCCGCCCAGATCAACAAGCTGCGCGAGTCGGGCAACGCCGAGTTCAGGAAAGGAAAGCCCGAAGAGGCGGGCAAGCTCTACACCCTCGCAATCGACATGGCGCTCGCGCGTCCAGCATGGGAGCCCTCAGGTCTCGTGAGGGAAGAGGTCTCTGGACTGCTCAGCAACCGCGCACAAGCAAACATGGCACTCAAGAACTGGGCAGAGGGCGCAGTCGACGCAGAGGCTAGTGTGGAGATGAAGAAGGTGGGCAACGCCAAGGGCTGGTGGAGGCGGGGCAAGTGTCTGCTCGAGATGGGCAGACTGGACGAGGCAGAGCAGTGGGTCAAGCAAGGATTGGAGTTCGAGGCGACAGAGCAAGATCTCGTCAACTTGAGGGACGAGATTGAGAGGAAGCTGAGAGGCGAGGTTTAGGTTGTTCTCGCCAGCGATCCGTTTGAGCACATGACATATGGAGGACTTCCGCCTCGTCACTTGTAGGATTTGGACTAGACGGAGGCGCAAGCTAGAGGTAAACAGTGGCACTATGCTAGTGGCATTGCTAGTATGTCTCTATGATACGAGCATGAGCAGTGGAAGGATGGGCATTGGCAAGGCGTTTGGCGCTGGAAGGCGTATACCACACTTGAGCCTATCAGGCTTTGAGGCATTCATAGCGAATCCATTGGACTGAATTTCCAATAAACAGGTTTCTCTCTTTCGTGCGCGTGATTTTCAGTGTACCGAGCCCATCGAAGTTGTCACGTTCCATGGTACGCCTGCCAAGCTTTTTGTAAAGTGATCGCACAGATGCGTTGCGCGCACCCTTCCGACAACTCCCACACCAGAGAGCGACTGCACAGCATTGCGGCTCACCATGAACGACGACTGACCACGTCAAGAGCGCGCAATCAGAACAGTCTACTCTCACCGGCTCAGACACAGCAGAAAAGCTTCATCCCACGCTTCTCCTCACCGTCACGAGCCTAGATCAGAAACACCCCACTCACTCCATGCACCAAATACACATACCCTAAATAGCACTTCTGCACAACCACAGTACAGACTTGCTTGTCCGAAGGATTCAAACGGCGCGCTGTAGATCGCAAATCTACCTGGTCGCACAGGACCAGCAACTTTTTAGGAGGGATCAGGGGGCATTTCACCACAACGGACGTAGGGTATGCTGTTTTGGTGGTTGGATGTGAGTGAGGGCGACGCCGAATTGTTCCCAGGCTCCTGCGCTGCTGCCGCCTGTGGGGTTTGAGGTTGTTTGTGCTCGGACATGATGGAAGATTTGGGCAGGGAAGCTTTCTAGAGACTGTACACATGGACTTCAGGTAGAATGATAAGCGTTCTCCCGGTGACCCACGATGACTTGGTACCTAGGTAGCGTTGGTTCTTTGGGGGCTGGATCTAATCTTAGGCCTGATAAGATGATCTGATAAAAGTTTCTGTTCTGCACCTTTCCTTCTTGGGCTTGGCGTAGTGAACCGGTGAGCGTCGAACTTCCCGCATACAGAATTACGACCGCGACTCCTGGGAAGTTCAGACATGAACAAGAGTCGAAAAAGACACGTGGCCAAAGCCCTTGCAGTTCAATCAACGACCAGGACCGTCCCTAATTAAAAACTCATCAATACCACAATGTGACCGATGCACAAACCCAACAATGCGACATCGCACCCATCACGGTAATCTCCCGGTGGTATCAGCCCTTCGGCGTATACGAAGACGCACAGTCTCACACAGTGGACCCAACCTACAACTTGATGCTACCAAGCCAAAACGGCCCGCAAAGGGACCAGTCTTCGCCCTGAAGCGGAGCCATGTCGAGATTTTCCTTTCCCGTTCGGCAGTACTAAAATGGATCGTAGGCGCCGTCTTAACGCAGGGACAACGCTCTTTTTTATCAGATCATCTTTCAACTGATAAGTGTAATAAGGAGGGACGATGGCTGGACGACCCGATTCTGTGAGGTCGGTAGACAATGAAGGCCAGAGGCCGACTGAGTCTGAGAAGAAGGTTGGAGAGGTGGTTGCTTGTAGTGATGCGTCGTCTGATGGGCGGGGTGGCAGCGATAAGAGCGAGGCGATTCCGCTGAAGATGAAGCTTATTGCTATTCTTTTGGTTACGGCAACGGGGTTTGGGTCGCATTGGAGTAGTGGTGTCACTGGTGCGATGAAGAGTACTGTGAAAAAGGTATGGACTACGTGGTTGCTGCTGTGGATACTTAGCTGACATTGAAAAGGAATTGCATATCAACAACGCGCAGTACTCCGTGCTGGAAGCCAGCGAGGACTTTATGAAGACCGCTCTGATCCTTGTGAGCGGTCTCGTTACCGATAGGATTGGTGGTGCCAGTTCGTTTCCCTCATCTCTCAAACTATGTCGACGCTGACAGGAATCTTTGTAGGCGCCATGCTCTGGGGTAACGCCATTTACAGCATCGGTGCCATCTTTATCGCAGCCGCCACGACCGTCCGTTCGTACAAGTTCATGATCTTCGGATCCATCGTCCAGGCATTCGGCGATATAGCCACGCAAGTCGCGCAGTACAAGGTCTTCAGCTCCTGGTTCGCACCCTCCAATGGCTTCGCATCGACCCTGGGCTTCGAACTCGGCATCGGCAAGATCGGATCTTTTGTCGGAAAGGCCACAGCGAACGTTATTGCGAAGAACACTGGCGACTTCAGCTGGGTGTACTGGGTTGCTGTGTTCATGAACCTTTTCACGAACGTTACTACCCTCCTGTACTGGTTCTTCACGCGATGGTGCGGGAAGAAGTATACCGGTACAGCTGATCCCGCGACGGGCGAACAGCTCACGGAGAACAACAAGAAGTTCGAGTTTGGAAAGGTTTTGCGACTTCCATGGACTTTCTGGAGTATTGTCGCTTTCTCTCTCTTCCAGACCAGCACCGCCTCGGTCTTCGCTCAGAATGCAACTGAGTTCGCTGAGCAGCGCTTCGACATGGACGCTGTCAAGGCCGGCTGGTACTCCTCCCTAGCACAATATCTAGGCTTCTTCCTCGTTCCAATCATCGGCATCTTCGTAGACATCCTGGGCAATCGCATTACGCTGATGCTGGTCTGTGGCTTGGGCATGCTCCTCTCCATGTGCCTGGCAACATGGGGCCCAACATACGCTGGCACCGCAGCTTCATTCGGTATCTATGGTGTCGCATCCATGTTTGGCCCGACCGTCATCATCGACTCGATTCGCACGTCCATGTGGTATCAAGAAGTCTTCGGTTCCGGCTACGCTGTCAAGATCGCCGTCAACAACGCCATGTCAATTATCATCCGTATCATCACGGGTGTCATCCAAGATCGCGACGACAACTCTTACGACAACGTGGTAATTGTATATGTTGTGCTTTCGGCTTGCTCAGTGGTAGTCGCCGCGAGCATGTTTGTCGGCTGCTTCTGGACGAGCGATCTCGGGCATCTCCAGTGGACTAGGAGCCAGCGCATTAGGAAGGGCGAAATTATCAATGTGCGGAGGAGGGAGTTTGAGTGTGGTGCCGCTGGTGAGAGGAACAGGAAGATCAGCTTGTCGTTGTTTGTCGCGCTTTTGTTTTTGGTCGTCGGCTCGTGGGCGGCTTACTTCTGGGGTGTTGCGACGGGTAATAATGTCTGAGGCTGCGGCGCCAATTGTTACTATCACTAGAAGCCAGCACCGCCGCGAGAGATAGCTATAGTCTTGATAGTCCTAATTAGGACAACCTTTGTCTGCATACGGTAATCAATTCAATCCCAGCACTGCAGCACTTATCGAGAAGAAGAAGGTCTAAACAGGTCCATAGCCTGAATTGAAATAGCAAGTCATAAAGCAGGTAACTTAGAAATAACGTAGGCTCTGGAGTGATTGGAGACTTCCTTGAAACAAGGTGGTGGCGTAGACATATATGCATGAAGTGTCACACACTTCGAAATAACCGACTATCTGCCCAAGAGGGTAAGTTTATCCAGCTTTTCCAATCTCCGCGGGTCTTTCTTACTCTTTTCCCATAATACTCGGGCGCTGTGTTCTTGGAGGGAGACGTTGAGCTTATCAAGCCATATATCTCGTAGGTGATACCGTCGACCTCATACCACCAGCAGTCTTTTGTTGGTATCCACTCACTCAGCTCCAAGTAGCTTGGATTTCGTCCCAACATTATGCCATAGGGAAGTAATTCTTTCCTCTTCAATGCGATGCTCTGATTCAGAGCGTTGGGGAGGAAGCCCATTGCATGGACATGGGGATAGTCAAAACTCTCTCTACCGAGGTCATGATACCAATCGTGAGTTGGCTTAGCCCAGGTGTCGTATAAGAAGGCATTTAAGCTTGCAGACATTATACCCCAGGTTTTCCCCAAGTCCACTACTATGTCGTAATAATCAGCATGAGAGCGCGGCGCTCCAAGTGTGAAACTCTCGTAAAGTATGGTCATAACATCGAGTAAGACTTCCTCAAGTGACTTTCCATAGTCAATCTGAAGTCGCTCTTGTTCTTTCACAAGTCCCATCAACCCGTATACGTGATCGCGAGGATCTTGACATCGACTTTGGCTGAATGTCTGGATGGCGTATCTGAGAGTCATCTGGGGTTCGGGGTCATGGTCGGACAGCAAATATTTTGCGGATCTCGAGGATAGATCTTCAGGATGGGTAATAGCCATAGCGCACAAGTAATCCCAGCTCATGAAGACCGGGCCGGTGGTGGGATGGCTGCATAGAACCTTTCTCCGACTCGACCGGATAATTTCCTGCACAATCCAGACTCGAGTAAAGTATTCCTGTTCTGATACAAATTCTATAGCTTGTGCTAAGTCCAGGGCTCGTATTGCATAATGGTAGTCCTGTTTAGTCGAATCGCCAAGCAAGAGCGGAGCATCGGGGTAACCGCGAATATATCCAAGCCAAATGATGGTCCCATAGCTCGTTGCATATATCGATGCCATCAATCCGACCTGGTGATTTCGCTCGTCTACGCTGGACTGGTCGATACAGATTTGGTCTATCCAAAAGTACTTGACCCCCCTAGGATCCCAGTGGTAGGACCATTTCATCGGAGGCCGCCGCTGGAAAATTTCATCTGTGATCGACAAATAGGCATGAAAGAATCGAAATAGATTTTCTCTGATGCTAAGATATTCGCCGTTGACCAATATATTGAACTGTGGCGACGGCGGACCCCAGGTATACGAAAGAGCCAGGAAAGGTGGCGCGCTATCCAAATCAAAGACTGATATGTCGCACTGTGGCTGATCCGGTTGACCCCTACGCAGTTTGATGAGGCGGATTTGCCGAGTGGAGGTGTCCAAGGCTTGGTGTCGATACCGCTTCGTCGGCTCGACGTCGCACGACTTCGTGCGTTCTGCACCATCCATATTGACCTTCTTATGTCAGCTTCGTTAGAGTTTCATTACCAAACAATGCATCTACGTACCGGCAGGTTCGTATCGGCTGATTCAGAGGTGACTCAAGCTGCTAGATATGCTATTCTTGGTGATGAGGAACCGCAGTCGTGTTTTTGATCGGAAGCTTACCCGGGCAGGTGGCCAGGTGAATTAATCCTCGACATTATCGAAATATCGCTCGTAGTGGAGTGAAAAAGAAACTGGCCGCTCTCTGAGACGATTTGGTGCGTAGAGAGAGGCTTTATATGATGACTTTGCGTTTTCTCAATCGTGGCGGAGCCTTGTTGGAGGGGCAGCATGGTGGTGGCTTAGAAAGGCAGCAGCGCTGAGCCTGATAAGACTAGCCCAGCCTGATCATGTGATAGTGCCTCGTCTCGATGAGCGAAAACCTGGGGACGCTGCCGAACAGTTTGTTGGGAAGATGAACGCATCAATATAAATATGGGCAGACGAATCCAGTGCATCGTCGCATGATCCCTATGGTGGAACGACAGTCCCGTCTACGAAACCTCACCACGATTAAAAAGGACTGGGCCTTACGGAACTACTTACTGCATTTTCGGCGTGTGCTCGTAACCGGCCGCAAGGCAGCGAAACGATTCGCAGTGTATAACCAAACTACCATACCAAATAAGCCTCGCAGCAACAACACTTACCCCAACCCAGTGTCTTCAGCGCTTGAACAAACTCAACAACTTCCCCTTATCATTCTCACCCACGCCAGCACCAGAACCCACCAGGATGCACCGCATAACAGCACCGTACAAGATATCAATCATCTCATCCCTCGCAGCCACAATCTCGTCTCTCTTAGCCTTGTACTCAACCTCCAACCCCTCGATCTTTTTGTGCAGATTCCTGGCAAGCTCGGAGTTCTCTCGGGCCAGCTTTGCGCTCTTTGCGGCATCTGTGTACATGGCTACCTTGATACCGTCGTACATGGCGGTCTCAGCTGCCTCCAGTTCACGGACGAAGCGGTCGTAGTGGTTGACGACGTTGTCGTCAAAAACGTTGTGTCCCTTTTTCATAGTCTCGACTTCGTCAATGATCTTTGTGGCGGCTGCCATGCGGCGGATTTGCTTTTCGTTCAGGGATTTGTAGCGCTCGGTGAGAAAGGCTCCGAGCTGAGCGGCTTCTGATACGCCGAGGTCGCAGAGCTTGGTGAGCGTCTTGACGTCGATGAGGTATTCCGTCAAGTTTCCGATACCGTAGCTTGGAGTGTAGTCATTGCTGTTGCCGTTGCTGTTGCCGTTGCTACTGCCGCTGCTACTGCCGCTGCTACTGCCGCTGCTGTTACCATTGCTGTTTTCATTGCTGTTGTCATTGCTGGTGTCATTGCTGTTGTCGTGGCTTGCAGTGTAGACTTTGCTGTGGCAAATGGTGTTGCCGTTGCTAGTGCCATTGCTCGTGTCGTTGGTCATGGGGGCCTTTCCTTTGCCTTTATGATTGGATGAGAAATTTGACGCGTCGGCGAAGGTTGGGGACGAGACGATTGGAGGTGAACGCGGTGTGGGCGCAACGGAACCGTTGGCGGAAGGCATACTGGCAGTTTGACGAACAGGTGAGCGAGATGGATACCTGATGAAACCGTAGACTGAATTCATATTAAGATTTTGATAAAGAGGGGTTCGTTAACGATAGCTTTGTGGATAATGTTGGTGTGTAGAACGAAGGGTGATGGTGTTGGTAGGTGAGTAGGCTTCCTTCACCTTGGTTCCTTCTCGTTGGTCCTCCTGAGTTCCTCCCCTCCTCCCGCGCCACTTGGTGTCGCGAGCAATGTGGAAGTGACGAAGAATGAGATAAATGCCACAACGACCCCTGCATTCCTGAGGCTCGCGATAACCCGGGACTCTGCACACTATCAAGCTACCCGTGACCAAAAGAGAGGTTTTAGTGAGGGCACAGTACTTTGTAGGGTGCTGCATATTCTGTGAAACAACGAACAGATCGGCATGTCTTGGATGTACCACCCGGAATCGACGAACGATGTGCGAAAAGAGAATCTCGACATCAATGCCACCATATGAGACTCACCATTCTCTTAGAAAGTAACATAAGTCATCGCAAGTAATATACCACTTCACCTGCCCTCCATGACAGTATACGTGGAACAAAGATTGACTTCAAGAATTCCACCAAGGCCAGACTGCATGCCTCAGGCACTTCTCACGGACAGCCCTGCCTGGTGTCGTCGGACACATCGGTCTAGGCATGCACCCTGGTAGGCCGGAGTATCACGTAAGAAGCCGAGGCAGGCCCGGAGAGGCGGGGAGGAACGACTGGAGCCAGGGAGGTGGGCTGATTTCTCGGTCTGGAGCCCCCATCTGACGGTAAGCGGCGATGTTGGATCGGCGTCGATGCTCCACGAAGGATGGAGCATTGATGTGCAGGCAGGTGAGCAGGTGTATGTCGAGGAGGAGTAATCGGGCGCGGGATGTAGGCAAATGTCTCACCGCTATGACTACGCTCTATGTCTGTACGGGTTCGCTGGGAACGGTCAGCAGTGACGTAGTGACGGCAAATGGCGAATTGCGGGGGTTCCAGGTCGCAGCGTGGTTGCACATGTACATCATCTGAGGTCGCATAAGACGTCGAGGCAGGTACAAAGTGCCGACAGGCGTGTGTAAAGCCGAGAGCGTGGACTGGGCTCCCTGGTGCAATTACGGGGTGTGAGGAGAGCAGACATGGTGATGGTTCGCACGAGGAAAGCAGGCCGACGAGCGCCCATGACCAGTCATCAATACGAGATGGTCAGAGGATAGATTGCTGACGAAGAAGGCTGGGCTGGGAAGAGGGCGAGGAGTGGGCGAGGAGTGGTCGAGGAAGTGGCGATGCGACGGTGGAAGGCGCGCCAGGCCGGATGAGGAACCATCAACAATCAACAGTAAGAATGAGGGCAGCGGCAGGGAAGCCGCGTGGGGTGAGAGATCGGCATGCCGAAGCCAAGCCTACAGTAGTCGTGTTATGCTAGTCGTAGGCTAGGCTCACTGCAATCTAGCATGCTATGAGATGATTAACTACCCCAGAGCCTACTTTGACGTTGGATCAATACGTTGCATGTTCTTCCCTTGATGAGATCTGGAGTAGGCTGCACGATCCGTCTAGTCTTTTCTCTGTATGAGGCGGGTGGTCATGCTGGTGAGTGCTGAGCGGTTGTCTCGAATGTTCGGGCCGTTCAGTGCCGCCCCAGTCTTTATAACAGGTCCGGGTCAGTCGCGTCTCATTGGATACCGACTGGGCGGTTCGCAGGTTGCATCAAGTCGAGCGAGCGACTGGGCTGGGTCAGTCTGCTACAAGCGGCGCGCGCACAGCGACTGTTGAGCAGAAGCAAGAGTTAGCGCTCGCCATGGGGCATAGGCGACGGTTAACCGCTGGGGCAGCGTTGGTCTTGGGCCGTCGCACGCTGAAGCCCCTTCGCAGCGCATCGCCGTGGAGGGCCAGGCCTGACCTATTGGATGCAGTCGCGCTAGCCGGTGGGCTGGAAGAGGGAAGCATCTACCCAGCACTCTTGGCGGCTTTGGAGCCGCGAGCAAAACTTCGATCCCTCCCTCGAGGTCCCGACCTTCTTTGTCTCCTGATGCACTAGCCCGTCTGCTGCGACACTGTCCTGTTGTTGTTGTTTTGCGCCTTGCCCTCACGACTAACGGCCGATCCCCCGACGCCCACGACGACACGGCCGACCGCAATTGCCTCGACTGCTGTGCCAGCCGGAGCTGCACACCCCTCTCCGCCCCCAGGAGCCTCGTCCGCCGCGTCCACCGCGTCCAGCAACTGCCGCCTACCAACACGCACCACCCTGCGCCGCAGCCACGTCCTGGCCGCGCACGCCTCCAATGGCCGTACTGGAGAGCACTGCAGTCGCCCGCGACGCCAAACCCGCCCAGCTCGCCTCGTCTCCCCTCGCCCGGGTGATGCGCGAGTTCGAGGAGCTCGTCCAGGGCTTCGAGATGGGGCTGCTGCGCTCGCTCGAGGACCCCGCCGCCAACGACGACGTGAGCACACCCAAGAGCACCGCCCGGCGCGACGAGATCCGGCGCGAGGCCTGCCGGCTGGCCATCTCGGACCTCAGCAACCAGTACACACCCAAGTACATCCGCCGGTCGCTCGACGCCGCCGAACTCGAGGGCAAGCGCGTCGAGGACCAGCTGCAGAGCCTCTCGCTCAGCGGCCGCGCTGCCGACGACGAGAGCGACCTGGGCAGCCTGCACAATGGCTACTTCCGCCTCTACTCCACCGAGCTCTTCGACCTGCTCGGCCAGCCCACGGAGCTGCGCTTCGGCACCCTGCGCTTCCACAAAGACACGCTGAGCCTGCCCGAGACCCCCTCGCCGCCCCACGTCACCGTCGAACTCGCCCTCAACGACGCCTTCTTCGTCGCCGACTCGGAGGAGACGCTGCCCTACCACACGTTCCGCCTGCCCACCACACCCTCGTTACAGAACCGCGGCATACGCAGCCGGAAGTTTGACGACGACGGCACCTTCCCCGAATACGACTCGTGGCTACTCTTCACCTTCCTCGGCAACGGTTGCATCAAGCTCGAGGTGCCCATCGAGATGTGCGCAGACGTCTACGGCGGCTGTCTGCGGGGCCGGGAGAACGAGGAAGTGCTCTTCTGGGGTTTCTTTGTTGACGATGACGAGTAGCGTCGCATCACATTTGCTTGGACTGGAGTTGGTATCAAGAGCTAGACAGGGCTTGGCATTGGAGTTGGGCGCAAAGGACTGGCCTGGTCGGCCGCCGGAACGGGTGCTTGGACATGCATTCACGACTCACGAATTTCCTTAACTGTACCTTCCTCTTCTCATCCCCGCTGCGGGGCCATATTCCCTCACACTTTAGGCCGTCAATCCTGCGCGTCATTACATTCTTTCCAATTGCGTTCTGGGCGGCATTGTGCATAGCAGTTTACAGTTTACTCCTCAAAAGGCGGACGATGAGGTAGATGATAGAGCGCATGGAGCGACACAGCATTGGTACTCGATAATACACACCGACGGACAAATCACATGCGCCGGATAAACCTTCTGCCGATCCCTTGCTCTTACCTTTTCTGATGTCCAGCCAACCTTTGCATCTGCATTATCCTCAATTCGGCAGTCCACAAAGCAACATGGCGCCCACCTTGCCCGAAGCAGACGCTGCCGCTGCGAACACGCCCGTTGTCGCAAACACAGGATTCAGGTTGGGCGACGAGGAACAATTTTCAGATGCAAGCGACAGCGACCAATCACAGACGAGCCAGCGAAGCGCTTCCCCGAGGCGAGCAAACGGCCAGGCGCCTGCGACCAAGTCAAAGAAGAAAAAGCAAAAGGACCGACGTAAGATGGGCGCATTGGCTGATGAGTTAGTCGACGTCTTGGGCGACGCCTTCTCGACGCCCCAAGCCGACCTAGAAAGTGGTATGTCACGTGCTGGACATGACGATCTAACGTCTATTGATCCTACGAGCACTTGCTTTTGGCACGTGCGACCGGGGTGAGCGAGTCTAACAAGATGCAGGCCCGGTCCAGCAGGCCAACGGCGACCAAACTATGGCCATCGATTCCGACCCTATGGGTAAGAAGATGAGTAAGTTTCTCCAACAGACCCTCAAACGTTCACTTCACCGTCATACTAAACCTCGTCTAGACAAACGCACCCGCCAGAATCTCGCAAGGATGCAAGCACGCAAAGAAAGAAAAGTGGCTAACCCCAAGATGGACACATCGGAAGACAAGACACTACAAGCCCAGATGGCAGCCGCGGAGCGCATAGGCATGTCCTTGGACGCATACCGCAAGATCGGCAGTGGCAAGGGCATGTCAAGAGCAGCCGCACGGCGAGCAAAGAAAGATGCCATTAGGAAAGAGCGAGCTGCAGCCGCGGTAGACGAAATGGAGATTGGATAAAGGAGCTGAAAAGACGTGCGTGGTGGCTTGAGATGAAAGTGCGGAGAAGGCATGAAGCTAAGGAACAAGACAATCCTAAAAAGACGATGCATCAAACAACATTTTCCCATGTCGCACGCTTTCGGACGTGATCTTGTTTTTCGTTCCTTTGCGCCTGCTCAAGAAGATGGAACATGCAAGATAGACGCCACTGTCGTAATCCTCTCACGTCTCTGCCAAGTCTCACATGTTCGTATCCTAACTTTAGTGTCGCACCGCAAACTATGGTTCCCCAACCGCCGCTGAGCTGAATCTAACGTACTGTTTCTTTCGGTTCAGCTCTCTTTTTCTCGGGGAGCGTTTTCTGTCACTCTCGCTTACCGAGACAATGTCGATCGACTATCGTCCCTCGTTACCAAACGCGTGGCAACGCTTCACCGCACATCGTGAAGAAAAGCAAATGTGCAAAACAAAAATCGTTCAGTGTGGCTGGCAGATAGTACGTTGGTCCTATTTATCTGGAGATTACCCTGTTTGTTAGGCCGATACTGGCCGGCATCGTGGTTATGCTCCGCGAGGAGGATCAGGGTGATGGGTGTGATGTGAGGCGTGAAGGCGAAGAAGAAATGGTGTCACAAAAAGTAATGGGTGCATGCAAAGATGCATCACGTGAGAGGATGCTGGCGTGGACCCTCTTTTGTGCAAACAGATACGGATAGATAGGTTGGGGGTTTAGTGCCTCCCTGGGGATGGAACAAACAAAGGAGTTTTGCATGAGGAGGTTTTGAGTACCCTGATTGAGCAGGTCGGATGCGTTGTATGAGATGTGGCAAGCATGGTGCAGGCAGTGTGGAGACCAAATAGGAAGGTGTGGGAAGTGGGATTGATTGGTGGTAATGCATGGGCTGAGCAGATGAAACGGTGGAGTAATGTGGCGGAAGATTGATACAATCCGGGAGTAGGCGTTCTTGATAAAGGGCATTGATGCTGTTGTATACGACATGACTGTTTCAGATCTTCGTAAACATTTAGAAAGCGTCTTGTAGAGCTTGCTACGTAAGTAGAAAGTACCTTTACTCTTACCTTTGCCACGAGCATCTATACTGGTGGCAAATATCAAGAGATAAGCAAAATCACGCGGTTTTTATCAGATTGAAAGATGGATATTGTTCAAACAACTGGATTCTTACGATGAGACCCACGTCGTCAAATATCATGACATTCAACTCAAGCTCCGTTCAATCATAACGCAACCCAGCACCTAAACTACCCCTACTCATGCACATTATGAATATGCCCCGACTCATCAATCTCCACCTTCGCCCTCTTCAAACTAGCATTCCTCGGGTTAGGCGCCTCAAAGATCTCCTTAAGCTCCTCGAGCGTCTTGCCCGCCGTCTCAACAAAGAAGAAGAAGATAAGCGCAATCTCAATGCAAATCCACACAATATACACGAGATACAACTTCCAGCCAATCTTCTCGATACCGACGGAAATACCGTAGGTGTTGACGACCATGGCGACGTTGAGGAAAAGGAAGTTGAGACCGGAGCCCTTGGCGCGAGTACGGTTTTCGAGACATTCGACGGCGTAGAGGGTTTGGAGGGGGGTCCAGCCCCAGGCGAAGAAGATGCCGAAGAGGTAGATGGAGACGATGGTGCCGTAGGCGAGGTTGTTGTCGGGGGTGGCGGTCGCGGTGAAGGCTGTGAGGAGGACGTAGGCGAAGAGGCCACCCCAGAGACCGCCCATGAGCATCTTTCGTCGGCCGAGCCTGTCGAGGAGGGTGGCGCCGTAGATGGCGGCCAACATGCTGAAGATTGGGTTGATGGCGTTGATGAGAAGTTGCTTGTTGGGATCTTGACAAGTTAGTGATTGTCTTGGACGTATCTGTATATTCAGAACTTACCAGTAATTCCAGCGTTTTTGACCATGGCGGGCATGAAGTAGCTGACGACGTTGTTACCGCTCCATTGACCGAAGAAAGCCATGGCGATGACCATGGCCAGACGGTAGCGTGCAGCCTTGGTGTTGCCTAGCTCACGGAAGTCCCACCACGGGTTGTCGTTGCGAGTGACAGCAAAGTCCTCGGTGATCTCGTGTAGCTGGAGCTGGACGATGGGAGAGTTGGGGTTGCCGTTTCCGTGGTACTTTGCCATGATGGCGATGGCCTCTTCCCTGCGGTCGTGGGCGAGCAGCCAACGCGGCGTCTCAGGGAAGAACATGATCAAGCCCATAACTATAGTGGGCAGAATGCACTGAACGATTGTTGGGATTCTCCAAGCCCACGAAGAGTTGCCCATGTGGAGGTTCGTGCCGTACGTGGTCCATCCAGCCAGAATGTTGCCGACCCACCAGAAGTTGTTGTACATACCAGCCATGGTTCCGCGGTAGGCTGGATGCGCGAGTTCGACGGTATAGGCGGGACCAGCAGCAGAAGCGATAGATGCGCCGAATCCTAGGATGAAGCGACCGGCAATGAAATGGCCCATCTCGTGAGCTGTGGCTTGAACGGCGGTTCCGACCAAGACAAGCGCGCAACCGACGGCGATGCAGATGCGGCGACCGTAGCCATCAGCAAGGAATCCACAGAAGGGGAAGGCGGCGATTTGACCAAGGTTGTAGATGATGAAGATGATGCCAGTGCTGGATCCCTCGCCAGTCAACCCGAAGGTGTTCTGGTAGGCTTTCATCGCGTTGATGGATCCCATGAGGGAGCTGTCGAAGCCGTTGAGCGTAGAGACGAGGTACCCAACGCCCATGATCATGTACAACTGAATCATGCCCCGAGACCATAGCTTCGGCTTCTCTGCCTCGATAGCAGCGGCTGTATGCTGTCAGCGCATTCTTCCCGTTGTCTCAGATATGATATTGACTTACTAAGAGCTACTGAAGCTACATTGGCCTCCTTGACGTTCGCATGCTTGTTCATGTCGTCGTCAACTGCACTCAGCTGGTGCGTCACAGCGCCCATGTCTTCACTCTTCTCCGCCATCTTGAATGTGTCGCTGGCAAGGACTGGAGAAGATCTGGAGGTGTGGAGCAGAAAAACGGGAAAGCTCTCCACTTGATGGCCGATTTGCAACGATGCGCAAGCTTTCCGGAATACTGGGTCTCTTTATACTATACAGGCTTCTCCGCAAAATAAGTAGCGCCTGCAGGTAATCTTACCCCATGGCACCGAGGCAAATGCTCTACCTTCCTGACCCGATGCATGGTTTCTGCTCTGCATGCAAACTGTTGCGCTCAGGCGCCACCCGGTTGGCCAAGTATGCTTGTTGTACGGCAATAGCACCGCATTAGGGGCGGAATATTAGCGGGATTACTGGGAAATTTTCAACTTCCAAGCTCGCTATACCACGATGGTACCAAGGCCAAGTAATAGGGCCTTCTGCAGGGGCGGGCCCAGGTCCAGAAGCAGGCCGGTTAGCGGGCGGACCTCCCAAATTGTACCAGCTCTGGAGCGCCACGCGCGAAGTCTTTACGAAGGAGATGAATCAGGAATTGAGCCGGTCGGTTTGGCATTGAGTCGCGATGAACCAGGCGAGGGTTAATGTGGTGTAGCTGGGCTGGGCAGCGGAGTGCGGGGATGGATTCCTGGAGTAAAGCCAGCCGAGTTGGGCAGCCGCCCCGTTGATCAGACCCCTTGGAAAGAGAAACCAGACACCTACCTCTGCGAATACAGTCGTAAGAAAGTTAATACTCCTGCAGTGCCTCTATGTGTAATAGAAACGCGTCCGGAAATCATCACAAGCTGTAAAGCGCCTGTCCAAAGTTTTCCAAGGCTCCCTTCAACGGAGTCGGAGTGATCAAGCGAAGAACCCCCGCTCGCGCTTGCGCCCGGACGTCGCCCCATCAACCCCCCGATGCGAGTCTTCCCAGCTCCTACAAGCAACATGCGCCGTTTATTGCCGACACGTTCCTTAGTCCTGTCACCTGAGAAGCAGATGGAACGTCCTCTTGGCATCTACGACATGTGGGCGGACGGCTTCCCTGATCAGTCCAAGTCACGCTGCCTACCGCAGTACGGCCGCCTTACTGTGGGGTGTCGACAACTGTATCAAAGATAGAGGACGTAGAGCAGTGGTTCGTGGAAGTACCATCAATTCTCAATCCATCCATCATGTCTTCAGGTCAACACCCAGCGAGCGTTCCGGACTGGAACAACCTCGATATCCTCCACAAGAACACGCTGCCTGCGCGCGCATACTTTCACAACTACGCATCAGAGGCTGATGCGCTTAGTTCCGATGTGAACAAGTCTACAACCCACAGCCTCTCCGGCACGTGGAAGTTCCAGCATTCATACTCGCCTTTTGAGGCTCCGGAAGGATTTGAATCCACTACATTCGACACATCATCATGGAGCGACATTGCCGTGCCAGGCATGTGGCAGCTGCAGGGCTTCGGCAAAGGCCCGCAATATACCAACGTAATCTATCACATTCCGGTTGATCCTCCCAACGTGCCTTTTACCGAGAACGAGACTGGATCCTACGTTCGTAAGTTCAAGGTCCCGAAACATCTCCAGGACGGTCAGCTTCGACTCCGTTTCGAAGGCGTTGACGCCGCTTTCCACGTCTGGGTGAATGGTAAAGAGGTTGGCTATTCTCAGGGCAGCAGAAATCCTGATGAGTTTGATATTACTTCGTTTGTCGATCTCAATGCTGAGAACACCCTGGCTGTTAGGGTGTACCAGCATTGTGACGGAACGTACATCGAAGACCAAGACCAGTGGTGGCTGAGTGGCATGTAAGTATGGTCCGTCGTCAAGATGAACTGAAACTCATCATCATAGATTCCGTGACGTCTTCCTGGTTGGCTTCCCCAAGGCGTCCCGAATCGAGAACGTCTTTGCCCAGACGCTTCTGGATTCATCCTACACTGATGCCGAACTCAAAGTCAAGATCAGTGCGACTGGCTCTGGCAAGGTTACAGTAAAGCTGTTGGATGCAAAGAAGCAGGAAGTCGCCTCATCCGAGGCGGATATTAAGGGTGATGGTGTGACTGAACTCAGTATCCAGGTCAAGGACCCACTCAAGTGGACTGCTGAGTCGCCAAACCTCTACCATCTGGTGGTCTCTTCCAGCGATCAAGTTACTGCCCAACGTATTGGCTTTAGACAAGTCGAAATGAAAGATGGCCTGATCAAAGTCAACGGTAAGAGGGTCGTTTTCCGCGGAGTTAACCGCCATGAACACCATCCCACTCTTGGTCGCGCTGTACCGTATGAGTTCATGAAAGAAGATCTTCTTCTCATGAAGCGTCACAACATCAACGCCATCCGCACATCTCATCAGCTCAACGACCCACGACTGTACGACCTCGCAGACGAGATGGGTTTCTGGGTCATCGATGAAGCAGACGTGGAATGCCACGGGTTCGAAAGTATCGCCGATGCCGCGCTTTCGAAGGAGGAGCGCAACTTGCCGTTCCGTGAGCGTCAGCTTATAACTAGGGACAAGGCCGCGGAATGGACGACCGACAACCCAGACTGGACGAAGGCGTACGTAGACCGTGCGGAAGCACTCGTTAAGAGAGACCAGATGCATCCATCGATCATCATTTGGTCTCTTGGCAACGAGGGTTTCATGGGACGAAACTTCGTGGCCATGTACGAGCACATCAAGAAGTACGACGACAGCCGGCCTATTCACTACGAAGCGGACATTTACGCAGACACCATGGATATGTACTCCAGGATGTATCCCCCGCTCGACGAGATCATCAAGTTTGGTCAAGACAAGGAAAAGAAGAAGCCACTGGTGCTTTGTGAATACGTAAGATACGCCATGTTGATCCTTAGTTCTATGACTCACCGTATTAGATCCACGCCATGGGCAACGGCCCCGGTAACATCAAAGAGTACATCGATGCCTTCTACAAGTACCCAACTTTACAGGGAGGTTTCGCTTGGGAATGGGCGAACCACGGTCTTCTCACCAAGGACAAGCAGACCGGCGAGGAGTTCTACGCCTATGGTGGTGATTTTGGCGAAGAGGTTCACGACTCCACCTTCGTCATGGACGGTCTTGTCAACTCCAATCATTCGCCCAACGCTGGTTTGATCGAGTACAAGAAGGCTATCGAGCCCGTACAGCTTCTAGAAGTGAATGGTTCAAAGGCCACGTTCATCAACCGATACGATTTCATTACGCTCGATCACCTGGTCTGCAAATACACATCAGTCTCCTCTTCATCCTCTGATGGGGTTACTGGAGATCTGGAAATTCCTTCTGGTGTCTCGCCTGGTCAAACTTTCGAGGTGCATCTTCCAACGATCGAAGCTCGCGAGGATGAGGTCTTGGTTAGCATCTCGTTCCAGTTGAAGGAGGCTACACCATACTTGAAGGCAGGTTTCGAGATCTCAACAGCACAGATACCTGTGACTCCGGTGTCGTCCTTGAAGAAGCCTCAATCATCAGGCAAGCAAGTCACTGTTGAGACACCATCCCGCAACACCCTCAAGATTACGACGGATCAAGCCACCTGGGAGTTCAACACGCTCCACGGCAGTCTCACCTCCTGGAAGCAAGGCTCGACTGAGCTCATCTCCAAAGCACCTGAAATGGACATCTTCCGTGCACCTACCGACAACGACATCCCGCAAGACGGCTGGGATTGGAAGGACAAGCAACTACACCACGCAAAGCCATTGACTCGCAAAGTCGAGTGGTCTCAGTCGGGCTCTGAGACTTTCAAGATCACTGTGCACCAACGCGTTGCGCCTCCAGTCCTGTCATGGTCCATCGACTGCGTTCTCACATACACATTCAGCGCCAACGGTACCCTATCCGTACACGTCACCGGCACACCCAAGGGCGAGAACCTACCCCGCACCCTCCCCCGCATCGGCCTCGTCCTGGAACTCCCCGCGCAATTCCAACACGTCGAATGGTTCGGCCGCGGCTACGGCGAAACCTACCGCGACAGCAAGCTCTCCCAGCCCGTAGGCAAGTACACAGCCTCCAGCATCGACGCCCTCTGGGTCGACTACGAAGTACCCCAAGAATCGGCGAACCGCACAGATACCCGTTATGTTAGCGTTACGAATGATAGCGGCGCAGGATTGCTCGCTCAGTTCGCGGATAAGAAGGGTGGGCAGAGGAAGTTGTTTGACTTCCAGGTTAGCCATTATAGGATGAAGGATGTTGCGGCTGCGGACCATCCGCATGAGTTGAGGAGGAAGAAGAGGGAGGAGGTTGTGCTGAGGTTGGATGCGGAACATCATGGGTTGGGGAGTGGGAGCTGTGGCCCGAGGACGCTGGATGAGTATAGTTTGCTGTGCGAGCCTTTTGAGTTTGAGGTTCTGTTGCAGGCTCCGTAGGTTGATGTCGTCATTCGGGACACAGTTCGACGAGGCGGAATACAGACCAATAGTTCATCTTGCGACGGTGTATTCCAGATGTTCAGTTCTGACGAATTTTTGGCTTGTCGTATCTGCAGTCCAGATGTCGGTTATTCTTGTAGGCGGGTCGCGGTAACCTTGCGGGCGTTTACGCGCGCTACTGCTCTTTCCCTCACCTTCACCTGTCGCGACTGCCAAATTTTCGCCCACTACCACTAGCTGTTTTCCACCTCACAACCTCCACGCTTTCTGATTCTTATCTTCTCTAAGGTCAACATCATGGCGAGTGGAATGAAGAAGCGACGGGCAAGTATCAGCGCGACTGCATCAGCTCTTGCTTGTCACAAAGACGCGGCTGCACTTCGATCGCAAAGAAGCTAACAGTTGGCAGAAGTCGCAGTCTCCAGCCCGCAATGTAGCTTCGAAGCGCGCGCGTATTACCTCGAAACGCGCCCAGCACACCGAGCCGGATCCGCATTCGTCGCGCGCCGGATCTGCCAAGGACACACACCTGCCCACCGGAGAAGACTGGGTCTTTCGCGTGAAGGTCATCTCGTCTGCGACCGACCTGGGAAACGAGGTGTTCAAGAATGCGGTCCAAGGACTCGTTCGAATATGTTTCCCTGCTGGCATTCTGGACCAGCTGGGTTTACAGATACTGGGGCAACACATGCGCGAGGAGAAGGCTCCAGAAGGCAACATACTGAGAATGGAGGAGGTATTCCAATCAGAGATGGAGCAGCGTATAGCGTCTATGCTTGCCGAGCATCTTGACACGGCTGCCAAAATCAACTTGGTTTTGAAAACTATTCTGTCTACTAGCGCAAGGGCTCATGGGGGTGACATTGGAGATGACATCTTGGGTCACGTTACCGCTAGCCTACTCGAGTTGAAAGCAAAAGCTTCTGAACACTCGACGGAATGGCTAGCCAGAGGTGACGGAGCACAGGAAGAGGACAACAGCGACGGGTATATGAACATCAGCGGCGTCTCTGACGAAGAACCTGCGCCACCACCAAAGGCATTGGAGAAAAAGAAACGGGGTAGACAGTCGGAGCGAGAACACCCAAGTGCTAAGGCTCATGTCGCAAAAGCTAAGAGTACGCATACCAGCTTGTTAGCGGCCCCGCCTCAGAAACGCACTCTGGAGCGCAAAGATCGGGTAATCTCTCTAAAGTGGCATCGGGACGTCAATGCAAAAGAGCTTTCAAACGCGGCTATACCTCGGACCTTCTTACGCACGAGCGATCTGTTTGCTTATCATGCATTACCGATTGCCCAACGCAATCTTGGCCCCAATGCATCAAAGAAAGATATGAGATGCGAGATGCAGTCGCTACTTGATGGCACGCCTCCAGAAGAGTTTGAGAAGTGGGTCGAGAGTTTACAAAAGCTACTCGATGGCGACCGCGATATGCTAGAGCGACAAGAGTCACCCTCTTCCGGTCACCAGCAGCAGTTGAGTCGCGTAACCCCGGCGCCTATCAACACACGGAGACACTCTCAGGAATCTACGACAAAAATATCAGGTAACTTGACAGATCCTGACATCGACCCAAGGGGTGGTAACAGGCCTTCGCACCAAGATACTTTCGACCCAAGGAATGGTAACAAGACTTTGCACCAGGATACTTTCGTCAAACGCGAAGTTGAAGCTGAGCAAATGGAGCAACCAGAGACTATCAATGAGGGTCGTCGAAAGAACTTGTTATCGGAAGCTACGGCTACCTTTCAACATGTCCCAGTAAAAGATCCTCACATCCAATCACCTAAACAAGCCGCAGAGACAATGGACGACCATGGCTCCTGGAGTCATGGAATCATGCTGGATCAGGTCTGTCTTCGGAATCTAGTGTATTTCAAGTCACTAATCATCGTGAGGTACAGTCGCTTGAGAAAGAGATCCCAATGACAATATTACTTTGGGGCTGGGGCAACATTTACCCGTCGCAATGTGAGCATGCTACAGAGACCATCATGGCTAACATGGACCGCCGGATCTCAGTCGAGGTAAAACGTTGCCGTTCCGTCAATATATCTCAGCTGACTTGGATCAGTACTTAAGAAGCTCAGAAGCAGATGGCTTACCCAAAGCTCTGACAAAGACGCATCTCAGAGCTGCCATTGCTGGTATTTTACCTCAGCCCGGACAAACTTTTAGCTTCACGGGTACCCTGAAGGCCATTGAACAAAGCCTGCTTCCTTGGCTTATCGCGATGCCGAGTGCTTTCCCGGAATTGCAGGCTATGCCATGCGTTTTTATTAACATGATGACTGTACGTTGAAAAGTATGATTTTTCTGCCAATATTAACGATACGCAGTACGTCTCGGTTACTCAGAACCTACTTCTTGGCTCTTGGTCCGCGGTATCGAGAAAGACCGGCCCTCAGGTATGGAATATGCTCTCAGTGGCTCTCCAACGACGAGGCATATCTGAGGTATCACATTCTGCTTGGGGAAATAACCATCTGCATCGCTGACAGCACGATAGACGTTAGCGGCTGCTTCTTTCGTCAACTTCACGCGCATCGACAAGCTTTGCAACACCCCAGACCCAGATGTCACGAAACGTCTTGCATTTGAACGTATCTTGCGTCGCTTGGTCTTCTTTAACAGAGAGAAGTTCCCGGAACTGAAGGCGACCTCTGTCGTAGCGACTTGGGAAACAAGGACGATGTTGACGTGGTGAGAATTGGGGGAGGACGCCCACGCGTGGTATCCTTGCGGCATATCCTAGTGCGACGATCAATGGTATTGCTGGCATCTATCCGAGATTGTTTGATCACGGACAGATCCACCAATGTCTTCCTATCGAGCTTGATTCATGGGCGTTGGTTGTCGCATGATACACCATATGGAGACTCAAAGTTTCCAGGGTCAGATTATCTGTGTATACAGATAGCGGATCGAGGGCCGATTGGTATGTGCAGCCGGTCGGTCTCTCTTTGAGCTTGCGACGAATCACCTCACAAGTAGTTCCAGAAAGCTCCTCTCGCAATAATCTTGAACAGAATGCTCTTGAGTTGGGAGGACTGCTGATCGTGCAATCATGATGTGCGCGCAGTAAATGCTCTGCATGCGCACAACATGAATCACGCTAGAAACTTCCTCCGGCACCGCTCGTACTGTTTGCATCGTAGACGTCTTAGATGCGCTCATTCTGGAAACGCCAGAATCTCGTCCAGAGGAGTGACGGCACGATAAGGCCCGAAAACGTTGGAGAAGGGTGAATGTGGGGTCTTCCAAGGTTCTCCGCAATGTGGGGAACGACACCTTTACATACGCCCGCTAGCGCATCGGCACCCATGTCTTCACCCAGCCGAGAAGGCTTGTTCCTGCAGGATACATTAATAAAGAAACATGATGGAAATCTAGATTATCTCCTCGCAACACATGTCAAACACCTTTCACAATGACGCCTTCACCAATGTACATCGACCGGGAATACCAGTCCACACATTTCAACCTCTTCAAAGACTCTATTACTGTTCCGCTGAAGCCAGTGCTGCCGCCTGGCGTTGACCAGAATGCGTTTAACAAGGCGGTCGCGAAATACAAGGGTGTTGTTGGTGATGCGCAGGTGTATTCAGGTGATGCATTGACCGAGTACATTGACCCGTATGAGTTGCACGAGGCGGAGGGAACTCGCAAGATGCCCAGTGCAGCCGTACGACCAAAGAACATCGAGGAACTACGAGACGTGTTGAAGATTTCGAATGAGTTTGGCATCCCAGTATGGACGTTCTCACGAGGAAAGAATCTCGGGTCAGTACATTCCCCTTTACAAACCAGCTACAAGCCATCTAACCACCGAACAGATACGGCGGACCCGCCCCTCGCGTAACCGGCTGCGTAGCCCTCGACCTCCACCGCATGGACAAGATCATCGAAGTAAACTCCGAATACGCGTACGCCGTCGTCGAACCCGGTGTCACATTCACCGATCTCTACGACTACTGCGTCAAGAACAAGCTCAATGTCTGGCCATCAGTACCATCTCTCGGCTGGGGCTCAGTCATCGGAAACACAATCGATCGCGGCACAGGCTTCACACCCACAGGGACGCACCACCAACACATCGCCGGCGTGGAAGCCATGTTGGCGAACGGCGAGCTCGTCCGAACAGGCCAGTTCGCCATGTCCAACTCCCCATCCGCACACCTCTCCAAGTTCTCATTCGGACCCAGTATCGAGGGACTGTTCCTGCAGTCCAACCTCGGTATCGTGACTAAACTAGGTATTTGGCTCACGCCCGCACCCCAAGCCTTCATGTCCTGCTCATTCGACATGCCGGATTTCGAAGACGTGGAAACGATTGTCGATATCTTCGGGCCGTTGCGACGCGACGGGCTGCTTCCCAACACTGTCTATGTGTCCAATGTGACGGAGTGGCTGGGCATGATGGGCCCGAGAGAAGACTTCTGGCCACACGACACTTCGATACCGGATTGGAGGATCAAGGAGTTGCAGAAGCAGTTCGATCTGGGGTATTGGAATGCCAAGTTCGGCCTGTATGGCGCGAGGGATGTGATTCAAGCGCATTTCGACGAGCTGAAGAAGATTATTGGGGAGAAAGCGCCGAAGGGAAGGTTGGTTGGTAAGATCTTTTCTGCGCCGGATGGAGAGACGTTGGATCCTACATCTGTTCCTGAGATGGATGGTGGGTTCTTCGTTGGTATACCGACGCTCTGGTCGCTTCCTATGGTGAAGTTCCGCCTGCCAAAGTCCGGGGGTGGCATTGGTGCGCATTACGACTACAGCCCTATTATACCTTCCAGGGGCAAAGAGATTCTGGACTGGGTCAGGACGGCGAAGAAGATCTGCGAGAAAGATAACTTTGATCTGTTCTGTGACTTCTTTATGCATGAGCGTCATGGTAAGATCGGACTCTTAAGCGGTGGATGATGACATATACTGACGTCGATACCTTATCTAGTCATTTTCGTCAACATGTTCACGTTTGACAAGACGAACGCGATGCATCGGAAAGCGGTGCAGAACATCTTTGATGGCCTGTTCGAGGCGGGTAAGAAGAGGGGATACAGCAAGTATCGCAGCCACGTCAACACCATGGGTATGTGTTATATCTTCTGCCTCGAGATTGCCTGTCAGTCGCTAACTTCTTACCCAGATCGTGTCGCTTCGCTGTATGATTTCAACGATCATGCGTATCGAAGGTTCGTCGAGACGATCAAAGACGCCGTCGATCCTAATGGTATACTGTCGCCTGGTAAGCAGGGTATCTGGCCAAAACGGTTCCGAGGGGATGAGGTATCAAAGGCGCATCTATGAGGCGCAGTATTGGTGTGGATGTCGAAGGAGGAAGCGCAGAAATGGATATGTACATTATTGCTTGGACTTGGAGATAGAAGCCTCCAAATGCATGAGTGCAGGCGTCTCAGCTGGCCAGCTTGGTCCAGTATTCAACGTGTCATTATGACACGTCGTGGTGTTGCCCTGGAATTGCGCTCATCATTCAGCTGATTCAGCGAGATGGGGTCGACAACGAAACATAGACGAGGGCAAGACCATAGCAGCCGAATGCGTGTTTAAGCTCGAAGCCCGATCAATGGGAGCTGCCTTAGGAAATCGTCAAGGCACAGCGTCCACTGCACATCGAAGCTCGGATCGTCACAACAACCAGCACAGAGTATGAACTGAAGAAAGATGTATGTCCAATTATAGTCCTACACATCCACAGAAGAATATGGGTAGGGTGGAGAAGACACGGCTCTGCTAAAAACCAATATTAATCTCCCACAGAGAGAAAAGTTGCTTCCTGGCCATGAAGACGAGCCAGGGAGCAGGCAAGAGTGGGGTAGTAGCATACAACGCGCACAGCAGCGACGACTCCCAGAACGACAAACATTGAATCATTCGGTGTCGAGCACGTGCCGCAAGCTGTGCATCGCGAGGTTGTTGATGAGCAGAAGAACGATCCAGAGCTTGGTTTTACGTGTTGAAGAATTAGCCCGCTCGGACCCCTATCTTTGTCAGCATTCGCTTGGCGCTGCCCGCGCGCCTGAAAAGCCCGTCGCAGCTCGGCCTCAGGTTTCCTTCCATATTCACAAAATCACAATGGACGATTAATCAACGGCTATACTGAGCTCTTCATCTCTATAGTTGTCATATTTGCGTCACTAGAACAATACCTGGCACTTTTAGGCTTTTTGCTACGATTTCTATGTTGCTTGAAGCCACCTGCGTGACCATACATTCACTTGAACAGTGTTGAGAGTTTCGAACGTGCTCTTTGCGTGTGCTTGACTAGCTGGGAAGATTCCTTCTCTAGAGTACCAGAGAGCTGACGACGGCAATGTCTGTCAGCCTTGGATCGTATCTGCGGCAACGAAGACGGCCTCGGCCTTACCAAAATCAGATCGGCAGCGTCTACGAGTCGCGCCACCAAGCCTGCACGTCGTTCATGCGCTGTCGTAAGCTGTTCCACGCCCATCGGGTTGGGAGGTCGATGATGTACTTTTGGGCGGAGGGCAGCAAGCTCAGACAGGGGCATGATGCCGTATATAGACCAAAAACGCAGGGTTCTGGAGCTTGTGCGGATGCCATGTGTGAAGTGGAACGGATGCATTACTCGTCATCGCGCGTGTCAACTAAGGGCCCTACGAGCTCCCCTTTCTGTGCTCATGTTTTGCTTTGCGATGGACTTGTTCATTCTCTAGTAATCTTACCTACGCGCCCTCTTGCCGTCCGTCCTGCCCCCTTTCCCCGCGCGTATTGCTCTCGTGCACGTTCTGCCGCTCCCCGATCTTCAACCTCCGCCCGAACCGCTTCCTCCTTCCAGACTGGACGACATGGCGTCGGCTCTGAACAAACGCCAGCAGGCGCGTAATGAGCGTGCGCTGCAGGATCTCATCAAGACGGTCCCTGGAAACGGGACATGCGCCGACTGTGGCGCGCGGAATCCAGGTACGTAGGGCAGGCGCATCTCGTTGGGCTCTCAGATGCTAACCAGGTCATACAGGATGGGCAAGCTGGAGTGTAAGTCTACCCATACCACGAAGCGAAACCGTACTCCTCTACGAACCGATCGTCCCTCGACCGTAAGCCCAAACTGACGTGTGCTGTAGCTGGGCATCTTCCTGTGCATGCGATGCGCGGCCCTACATCGGAAACTGGGAACGCACATCTCCAAGGTCAAGTCCTTGAGTATGGACAAGTGGGACAATGCGCAAGTAGACGTAAGACTTGTTAGTCCTCCGCGGTTCATGTCGGATTGCTGACACCTGTGTAGAACATGAAGCGCATTGGCAATCTCGAGTCGAACAAGACGTATAATCCGCGCAACGTCAAGCCCTCCATACCCATCGATATCGACGAAGTAGACAGTGCCATGGAGAGATACATACGGGCAAAATACGAGCAGAGAATCTACTTGGATGCTTCGCGACCGGGCACGCGACAGAACACAGGCAGCACGAGCTCTGAGGACCGGCCACCGCCATTACCGCCGAAGCCCACCGGCCGCTTTGGATTTGGATTGCGAAAGGCCTCCACGACACGCGATCTCACTCCTCCGCTGTCACCAGGTCTGGGAGGGTTCAGCCAACACGACCAGTCGCCGCCACGCATCAACAAGCCTTCTAGGGTGTTCGGCTCTAACATACACACTTCTGGTGATGGCTTGGACTCGAAACTTACAACTCTCCGGGATATGGGCTTCCCAGACGATAAGCGCAACGCCACGGTGTTGAAGGGGCTGAATGGGAATCTGGACCGGGCAGTGGAGGCGTTGATTCGACTTGGAGAGCAGGATCCTGGCAGATCGAGAGGAAGCACACCGACACCGGCCTCGCAGCCTGCGTCCAATGGCATTTCGTTCGACACAATCAGCACCGCACCCCCTACCGCGTCTTCTACGAACCCGTTCGATGCGTTAGACGCTCCCGCGCAGGCTCCTCAACAGCAACCCCAACTCGCTCCTCTTCAGACTCAACAAACGTCCTACAATCCATTTCTACAACAAGCTCCCCAGGGATATGCTCAGCAACAGGCCTCTCAAGGATACGTCCAGCAACAGGTGCCCCAGCAACAGCAGCAGCAGCAAAACTTCGGCTATCAACAAAACCCATGGGATCAACAGCAGCAAAGCCTCGAACAGACGTTTCAAGGCATGCAGATATCGCAACAGCAACCTCAACAACCCTTATTCCCGAACCGAACTGGAGGCTACGCTGACTCAACACCCTCGTCTTTCGCCCAAACGAACCCGTACAACCAGTCGTTTACTCCGCCACCGATGCCGCAAATACCCGAACAATACAGCGCCTTCTTCGCACCGCAACAGCCACAGTATCAGTCCATGTCCAATCCCTCGAGCCCAGGAAATCCGTTTTTGAGATCGTCGAAAAGCCAAATGTTTACACCGACCAATCTGGCAAGTTCGAATCCGTTTGGGCAGCCAACGATGCAACAGCAACAGCAACAGATGTCTCAGCCGATGTCTGCTCCGCCGCAGCAGCAGATGCCGAACCCTTGGTCGCAGCAAATGCAACAACAACAGAAGCAGCAGCAGCAGCAGCAGCAACAACAGCTACAACAACAGCAACAGCCGCAGTATAACCACGTCTCAACTCCCCAATCGGCGAACCCGTGGCAGACCCAACAATCAGGCTTCCAAAACCAGGATCCACAACAGAATTATCAGAACCAGCAGCAGAGCTTCCAGAACCAACAGGCACTATACCAACAGCAAAGCTCCAATCCCTTCGACAAGAACGCTTCGATTCTTTCGCTATACAATCAGCCTCAGCAGGCTCCTCAGCAAGCGCCGCAGCAACAAACTCAACCAACAGCTGTGCAAGCTTCAACGCCTGCGGCACAAGTACCTGGACGCGCGAACCCGTTCGGTAACATGACCGGCGCACCACAAGGGCAAGCACTATCCGCCGCACAAACCCCCGGCCTGAGACATGTCAGCAACGAGAGCGTGGACTTTTCTGGATTAATGAGTGGACGGCATTCCCCTGACGCATTCGCCGGCCTAAGTTCGAGCTTCAGGCGGTAGACATGATTGGTATTGCATCACCTCTTCCTTGGACGGAGCCCTATGAGGAGATCCTTTTCTTTGTTGATACTTTTGATCTGGAGGGAGTGTGTTATTGGATATGATTGAAGAGATGGCTTGGAGGCATTGGAGAGCTGAGATTGTGGGAGGGGTTGATCGAGGTTTGTTGTATGATACCTAGCTAGGACGTGCGCTGCATCGGCTTAACACTAATTATTATTCCATTCTATGTACCTAAAGATTGAAGGCTGAGCTCGTCTGACTACCACAATTGGTAGGCAAGATATGTTAATCTTTCTTCGTCCGATACTTCTGCTTATCTCGAATTGTGACAAAGTAGACAAAAAGCTTAAATTCCTGTGATGCATCCGTGTATATCGCACGATCTGCAAGCATTCCCAAGTACATGGTTTCAGGTTTGCTTTTTCACGTGCAAACGTGAAGCCAATGTGGCTAGACCTCTCGCGTCTACGTCATTGCTGCCACCCGCGTACCTGTCCCTGAACTTCGCACCACTGTACCCACAACCTACAACCTACATCCTCACTTACCTGAACTTTGCTCACTGCCTTGATCGCATACCCAACAATCAATCTAAACAATACTCTCGAGCTCGAATTCCAATCTCCGAAACCAGCCAACATCATGGGTGAGATACACAGCAGCCTAGCGATAACATCCAACTAACACCACGCAGCTCCCCAACCAGACTACTGTATGCGCACACAAACCTTTACTTCCTACCCGAAAGCTCATACAACACCATAGACAAAACCCTCGAGGTCGACTCAAAAGCTTCCCAACAGCAAATCCGCGATGCCTACAAAAAGTACCACCTCACCTACCCACAAACCTTTCTCTCCGCTCAACCTCTAACACTCCCCCCACAGAGCAGCACTAAAGCACCACCCCGACCGCGTCCCCTCCGACTCCCCCGAGCGCGCAAGCCGCACAAAGCGCTTCCAACAAATCAACGACGCCTACTACACTCTATCAGACGCGACACGGCGCCGCGACTACGACGCCGCACGCACCTACAACAGTTTCACGGGCAGTACCGCAACACCCGACTCTGATTTCGAAGAAGACATCCCAGGAAACGCGGGTGCGGGCGCAGGCACAGGCACAGGCGGCGGCTTCGCCCAAGGCTTCCCCTGGTCCGCCTTTGGTTTCGGCAGCGCGCCCGCCGGCAACACCGAGGAATCCCACAACCGGTTCTCTGAAGAGCAATTCGGTGGTATCTTCGAGGAGATGCTTAGGGAAGAGGGGATGGCGGATCAGGACGCGCATCCGACGTCAAAGTTTTGGAGTATAGTCGGCGGGTTGAGTGGAGGGGCTATGGGGTTTATTGTGGCCAACTTCCCGGGGATGGTTGCGGGGGCGGTCGCGGGGAATAGACTCGGGGCTGTGAGGGATACGAAGGGGAAGAGTGTTTATGCGGTGTTTCAGGAGATGCCGCAGGCGGATAAGGCGAGGTTGTTGAGTGGGTTGGCGGCGAAGGTTTTTGCTAATGTGGTTTCTGGGTGAGCGGGGATGGGGAGGAGGGAGGGAGGGGGATGGGGTGTATGAATGACGATATCCTTGGAGTTGTTTTGGGTGCTCTTTCACGATTGGCTTAGATTGACATAATCTACTACACTGACTTAACACGTAATGGTATGAGTTAGGTGCACGCATGATGTGTAGTGAGGTATAAGAAGAGCAAGTTTTGATTTGCATCTGAACGCCAGGCAGGTCCAAGCCTACGCAAAGGAGGGATATCTCTAACGAAAAGAAAAAACAAGAAAGCTAAACAAGCCAGAACGGAAAAGAACAGGAGAAAACGTCGTCAAACGTCTCCCCACATCGCGCCGTCGTAACGTCGTGCAATAAGAAAAAGCCCAAAGGCAAAAACAAAAAGTACCGCCTTTTTCCCCACCATCACAGCCCTTTCCAATACTCCCACTTCCTCGCCATCTCCTCACTCATAATCTGCGGCAAAGCCTGTTGTTGCAGAGGATCACTCCTCTGCTCCTCATGTCACCAATCACTTCCCCCTCTTGTCAGATTCCCAACCACCCTCGTAATAGTAAGGACGTTCTCGACCGTTCCTAGAAGAGGAAGCTCGAGTCAGCTCCTCTTCATCTCTTTACATGAACTTGCTTGCCATACTCGCCAGACTAGCCAGGCCGCCGATGCCAGAAGAGACGCTCTGCATGTCGATGTTGCCGAGACCGGCCATCATGCCTCCGCCGCCGTTACTCGGGGCGCTCCGGGTGTTCTCGTAGCCGTAGCCCTGGCTGCCGTAGTAGCCGCCGCTGCTGCTGGCGCCCCTGGTGTTGTAGTTGGTGTTGGTGTGCCCTGAGCCAGCGTACCCGCCTCTCGCACCCGGTCCCCCCATCTCAGGTAGATTGACGCCGAACTGACGGGCGAGTTTGTGCAAGACGCCGCCGGAGACGAGGGGCATGATGACCATGAAGAAGACTTTGTAGGGGTGGCGTTGGGCGTAGCGCCAGATTTCGCGGAGGAAGTGTTGCAGTTTCTTGTACAGGTGTTGCATGTACGAGTCGCGGGGTGAGCGCTTGTAGCGCGACGTGGAGCTGTGGTGGCGCGAGGACGCCGAGTACGACGACGAGGCGTAGCCAGGGCGGTATCCGGATGAGGAGCGTCGCGAGGGTGAGCCCCCTGTTGAGAAGGGGTTCCAGGAGCTGCTGCCGTAGCCCATTGTGGTGGGGCGTGGGGTGTGGGTGTTGGTGGAGGAGGGGAGGAGTAGTGTTGGTTTAGGGTGTATGGAGGCTGAAAGGGGTGTTGTTGGTACTCCGAGGCTTGATGTTGATGAGCGGCGGGATGAATGCGCGCGAGCAACAGAAGCCGGGATGCGGTGGTGTAAAGTGTATTGATCCGCCCAGCGCATTCGGCGCAAGATACTCTTGATATGCGCGGTGATGAGGTTTAGCGACAACAACGACTCTATGACTGTGAGTCTTGAAGCCAGCGCAACAGTATCCAGTGGACTAGAAGAGAGCTGTCGCAAACACACAACCGGTGAAGGGATGTGGGTCTCTTGGGCTTCAATCGCCTCCTCTTTTGCCTCACTTCAGCTCAGGTTTTCCCTGCTTCCTTGACCCTGCCTTGGCCTGATGCGCGGTGCCCTACTAGCCAACTAATTCGAGGCTACAGCAACCCAACTCCTCACACTATGACAACACAGGCCACCGTGCGCAACGACGACTCCGACGGGAAAACGTGGGTAAAATGAGTCAAGGACTAGTAAGGAACACGTCGACGGGTAGAAAAAGACCACAAAAGATGGCACGGTTGGGGAATGCTGATGAGGGAAGGAACTTTGGCCAGCTTAAAGATGTGCGCGAACTTGTGGAGCAAGCAGAGGAATGATCGTCGCAGACTAACTGACCGCTTTTTGGTGGTTGGGCGTGCCGGACGTAGCCCTGCAGGTACCGCCACCTCCGATTTATGCCGTCTCAGATCCCACTTGTGCACATGTGCGATGATGTGCGTGAACCATGAAAATCGCGGAGATTAATTCGTCTCTACGCGAGTAGGCAGTGCAACACAATGGGCATCAAAACTTCCTACTCGAGAATTGATTTTTGTTTGATGGCTACCCGGGACTTTTGACGTGATCGCGATCGAAACAGCCGTTATGCAACGGCCGTTGTGCGCGTACCCTTGTCGCATAAGTGTCTAGAAAACCGTTGCAAGTGTTCGAGACCCAGATGCAGCTGCAAGATGCAGATGCAGCACACGCAATATGGCATTCAACAAATCGTGCTAAGGGCTGGATTGAGGGGACAGACCCGTTCCTGCATGCGCTCCTTGCCCAGTTCGAGACACGTTTGACTGATTAAGAGTCAGATCGAATGACTGTTATCGAACAACACACCTCAGTGGAGCAAGCAATACATATATTTATCAGTACAACAGGAATATCAAGGGCCCACTACATACGTGGCCGTCTTCGAGGCCACTATCTTGTATGCAATGTCTACGAAAGCAAGAATCAATTGGATCAGAAGTGTCAGATTGGAGAGCGGGGGATTTGTGCCATGTACAACTACATCGAGACGCTTCAACCTTTCTTCCTACTTTTACCGCTCTTTCGCCGCCTCTCAACTCCATGGCCACTTCCTCTAGCAGCTTCTTGAGTTTGAGCTGGAGTAGCAGAGCTTGATGCTTGCGCAGTCAAAGCCGGGTCTGCATGGCTGACATGGCTACGTGCTGCAGGTGCCGCTCGCTGAAGTGATGCCGATGCAGCAGCAGGGACAGGGACACGTCGGGGCACTGATGTGTAGCTAGCTTCAGACACGGCTGAACTTACACTCCGTGTATACTGCGGTTGAGGCGAAGTCGGTGATGTAGAGGACGTAGGGCTGAAGTTATGATACTGGTAAGGCTCCACAGGGAACGGTACAAGCCCAGCGGATTGAATGGAAGACGATCTTGTGCGTGACCCGTGTGGCAGATCAGCCTCGTATGCAGCCTGTCGAGAGGATATACGACCTTGCCGTGGAGGTGTGGCGGGGCGATAATCAACCACAGATTCTGGAAACGCGCCGAGCATTTCTCGAGAAAAGCTGGCGTGCGATGGCGAAGGGACGTAGTGACTAGCATCAGACGCGGAACGGGACGCTGGACGTGGAGATTCCCGTTCCCGTTCCAGGCTACCCTGGTAAGGATTGATGGGCGCATACACAGACTGTCCGTCGGGGCCAGGTATGACGAAGCCGGGTGGCGGTGCACGGCTATCTGTGGTTGATACGGTAGATGTACGTTTGCGACTGCTGGGCTTCTCCTTCGACTTTGATCCAAAGATTGAACTTCGCTTCTGATCTTTCTTCGATCTGGAGGAACTGCCGTGCTTGCTAGTCGCATCGTCTCTAACCACACTTGTGGGGTCGTTGGGGTAGGAAGCACTGTTCGGCCGAGAGTGGATTTCAGGGCGAACTGCTGTTGTCCTTGGTCCGCGAAGTCGTGAATCATACGCGCGTAACTCTTCTGGACTAAGTGATACGTTTGGATTACCCGCTGCTCTTGCTATCCGAATCTTATCGAGTACGCGGCGGAATAGTATTTCCTCGTATTCAGCGGTATCGAAGTCGTCGCCGAGATACTCATCATAATCCTGTTGATGACCACGATCCTGGTATGTTGCCTCACCCAAAGCTGCTGCCCTGCCCTCCCAGGCACTAATATCCATATCATTAAAGTAAAGCTCATCCGAATTGATGCTCTTGCCGTTCAAAACCGGCTGAAACGCCTGATCTAATACAACGCCACCCTTCTCATCGTCGCTATCCAATTCTTGAAACCTATGCACGTCGTTCTGCCCCCCCTCGTAGTATCTCCCCACACCCGACGAGCCCCCTGGTGGTCTTCCCCAGCGGGGCATAGTGTAAGGAGGAGTTCGCGGCCGACCACCTAGACCGCCTCCTCGGAAAAAGCTGACTCGATGGGCTTGTCCAAAAATGCAGCGTGGCCCACGACGGTGACGCCAGTTGCGCCGATGAGCCAGAGAACAGTGGAAAAGGGCGAGGCCCAGAGTCCGAGGGGAATCGCAATGACGAAGAGCGTAGTGTACAGCTGCGAGGTGCTCGCGCGCCAGCTACCGAGCTGGAGATCATTGCCCTCTAGCTTGCCGATTCCAAACATACCACCGACCACAAGGATGATGACAAAGAGTAGCATCAAGTTGGTGAGCAGGCTGTAGATGCTGAGCATGACGAAGACAGCGGCATAGTTGCTCGAGAAGTAGCCCAAGTTGTAGTTGACCCTGCTCTGAACCTCGCTGAAGTTGGCGGGCTTGGAGATGCGCTTGAAGTCGAAGAACTCGGAGATGGGTCGCAGGTTGGCGAATCGCGACGAGACTGAAGTGGAGCGGATGCTGTCGAAGCGTCCGCCCAAGTTCATCCGGGATGTCAGGGCATCGATGGGGATGCTGAAGCGAGACATGACGGAAGGTGTGTGGGTCGTGATTTCGGGTGGTGGTGTTTGTTGGCGCTGGTCGGGGGTAATGAGGGTCTGTTGTTGTTCTTCGAGATCTTTAGGGGAAGTCATGGTCAGTTCAGCTGCTGATAGTGGTGGAGATCGAGGGAAGGCTGGAGATGTGTCCTCTAGAGGGGAAGGAGGTGGAATTGTATGTAGTAGATGGCTGCCTTACGTGGATGGGAAAGAGTCGCGAAAGAGTGAATGCGCTGACGCTGACGCGGCTGAAGTGAGTGTAGATGGAGTGCAAGTCGAGTTGTTGAGGAGGTTGCGTGTCGCTGACCGTATGGGAACTTTTGTTGGCCCCTGCCGCGAATCCCGTAGTTCAGGGTCGCGCCTGCCCACCGACACAGCCACACGCTCAGCCGCGTCTCACATGCAAGTCGTGAAGAGGCCACATTTTTTGATTCAATTGCAGAGACTTGGAGTGAAAGAGGAGAGCGACTGCACTGTGTAGAGAGCCTCTTTATCGCGCAGGCCTGCTACACCTGTGTCCCGTCGACAGCGGTCAGACTAATTGGGCCACGTTCCGTCACTCGAGCGGGCTCGCGGCACTACTGGACATCTGGCGGCACAAGCCTGCAGCCTCCCTATCACTTGCTCGCAGACCAGCCAAACTTCATCCACCCCAGCCATGAGATCTCACGCGTTGCTCGCATTGGTCTTGTGCCTCTTTGCAGCATTCGCCGCTGCCTGGACCAAAGAGGGTGCGTATTCCAATTGCATATCGTCTTCAAGTGCATGCTTGCGGCCACATATGCGCCTTCCCCACATGCATTCCCCAGCTCCAGCTGCCACTGCGAGCTACTTGCTGACAGCGCACTGCAGACCACGAAATCTTCCGCATCCGTGACGAGGTCGCCAAAGCAGACGGCGCCAACATCACCTTCTACGATCTCCTCGGCGTCAAGCCCAGCGCGTCCCAAGACCAATTGACCAAGGCCCTCCGCAAGAAGTCGCGCGAACTCCACCCGGACAAGGCCCGCAAGAACTTTGTTACCGAATATGCGAAGACCAACCCAGCGGGAAAGAAGCCGTCCAAGAAGGAGACCGACGCGCACCTGAAGAAGGTCACCGCCGCCTACCAGCGTCTCTCGGTCGTGGGAAAGCTACTCAAGGGCCCTGAGCGCGAGCGCTACGATCACTTCCTGAGGAACGGCTTCCCAGCATGGAGGGGCTCTGGCTACTACTACGAACGCTTCCGCCCTGGCCTCGGCTCCGTCATCTTCGGTCTACTCGTCGTTCTCGGTGGAGGCTTCCACTACTTCGCCCTGGTCATGGGATGGAAGCGCCGCAGGGACTACGCCGAGCGGTTCGTTCGCCAGGCGCGCAAGACTGCTTGGGGTGACGAGAGTGGTCTCCAGGGCATTCCTGGAGTTGACGCTGGCGCCGCCCCCGTGAACGCCCAGCAGTTCGAGAACGAAACCCCCGAAGATACCCCTGAGGAGGTTGGCCCACGCAACCGTCGCGAGCGACGCGCCATGGAGAAGGATGCGAAGAAACCCAAGAAGGCGCAAGCTGCCAAGAAGGCGCGCGACGACGGCATCAGCACCCCGGTCGAGGCAGAGGTCATCTCCGGTCCACAGGGAGCTAAGAAGCGCATCGTCTCTGAGAACGGCAAAATTTTGGTCGTTGATTCCGTCGGCAATGTCTTTTTGGAAGTCGAGAACGAGGATGGCATGAAGGGCGAATACCTTGTCGACGTACGTATATACAATTCTCCAACACGGTGCATTCACTAACAGCATCCAGCCCGATGAGGAGCCCCAGCCCACCATCTACGACACCCTCCTATTCAAGCTCCCCATGTTCGCCTACAACCAAACCGCCGGCCGCATCCTCGGCAAGAAGGAATTGCTTGACAAGCCACTGGTCGAGACATCCAACCTGACTGAAGAAGAGGCCGCCATCCAGAACGCCACCGCGCCCAACCTCAACGGCGAGGCGAGGAAACGCAAGGCCATGGCCAAGAAGGCAAGGTAGCCATATGTACACAAACACTACAACGTGCTGTCGCGTTGCAAAATTTAGCATCGATGTTTGGTGATAGATAGACAAAAAGGGTACTGGACTATGCATTTGTGTAAGATATAGATGAACCATAAGGTGCGCTTCGCATTAAACCTGGCTTTCAATACTGTCAAAGCCCTTTGCTTGTCGTGTCTCTCATCTGTGATCTAAGGTGATGCTACCCGTACTACCCGTGCATCCACATAGCTAAACGAATACGCATTAGCAAAGCACACGATGTACACACCGGGACGTCATATCGCATGTTGTACTCCACAAACTCCGCACGATAGCCCCAGCGCCAGCGCTACCTAGTACCGGCTGTACCGAATCACACATTCACACGCTCCTTCCTTCCTTCCTTCCTCACCACTGTCACCACACTGACCCAGCACGTCGACCGTTTTCTTGCTTAATAGTACTTCATTATAGGGTCTAATATGCAAAATCTACATCTACAATAGTAGAGACCACTCTCTCTTCGCTCAAAACGCGATGGCCATGCCATGGCTAAACGGCTAGAGACTGATGCATGCTCCCCTTCGCAGATTCCTTGAACGCCTGTCTAACTCCAGTAACAACGGAGGAGCTTCACAACCCTACATTCATAATAAGAGAAGCCATGATAATAAAAAAGAGATAGTAGTAAAAGACCGCAGATGGGGTAGACTCGGCGAAGAAATCCGCCGACAGTACCACAGTCAAATGCAGAGAACGAACAAGAAAAAGAAAAGCCAAAACCGGCATAATGTTGGTATCACAAGCTTGCGGCCGTGAATCCCAAAAGCAAGAAAACGGAAAAAAAACGTGCACGCGCGAAAATGGGCATGCATGAGCAAAGAGATGTTCAACAAGACAAGACCGCTCTTTTCTGGCTTCTTCCTTCTCTCTCTCTCTTTCTCTGACTTTCGACAACAACCTCAATAACGCGTTCTTGCCTTTCTTGTCTCGTACAACTCATACCCGGTAGTAATCTTCTATTATGGATAGAGTGCTCGCAGACACGGCTCTAGCACGAGCCACCACGTGCGACGCATACGCGAACCGATACACGGCCGATGAACCCTTTTTCAGCGAACAAGTTCCTGCGCTCACGACACGCTGCTTTGCGGGCTGCTGTTCGAGATCCAACTAGAATCGTTCTCTGGATCCGTTGCCGTGGTTTTCAAAGAGGTCGTCTAGGTATCCGCTCGGCGTGCGGCCACCAGGCACAGTCGTGCCACCCGGTACATTGAGCGATAATTGGCTGACGGTGTTGTTGTCCTGGCCGTAGACGGGGCTTCTTGTGGTGCCGGGTTGGTGGCCGAGGGTTGCCACGCTGTTGCGGTTGTAGTTGGAGAGGCCGTCTCGTGATGGTGGTGCGCGGGCGTAGCCTCCTCGCGATGGAGGGAGTGATGGCGATTCTGGTGGCGACATGCCGGACCTCGCGCTGAAACGGTTTCCGGGTGTGGAGAGGGAGAGGGCAGAAAGATTGTTGGGGTTCTGGCTGCCAATGTGCATTTGTGGTGATCCGGCGGCGGGTGCTGCGTTGCCAGAGGCGTAGTATCCCGCGGGCAGGTAGGTGGAGGATCGGTTGCCTGCTACGTGGACTGAATCTCGCATACCGGCGGCGCCACCTGCAGTTGGGGAGAAGAAGAGAGACGATTGCGATTGCTGTGCTGTGTTGGCAGCCGCGCCCTTGAAGGCCTTGTTTGACTTGCCAATGGGGGCGGCGTTCAGGTGATCCAGGGACATGGTCGAGCTTGCTCCTACTACATTGTACATCCCCCGCTTCTTGCCAGGCACTGCTGACATGGCCTTGATATCAGCCAGGTTTTGGGCCATGGCCGCCCGCTTCACGGAGCGATGCAACGACCACGCAACGAGACCGCGCCACGCCAGCACTGCCGCACCGAAGAAGGCGAGGATAGCACCTACACATATGAAGACGGTTCCGTCTGGGAGATCGGATTTTTGCATAAAGGCAGCACCGGCTGTGTCGGGAACCTTGATATCTGGGATACCGACACCAGCCAGTGTTGGTGCGCCTACGAGGTTGAAGACACTCGTAGACCCTGTCTGGGCGGCCGCGCTGGTGGGCGCATCTGCAGTGGTTGCCGCCTCGGTGGTTTCCGTGGTGGCGGCTTGTGATGGGGCAGCAGTCTCGTCAGCGTTCGTTGTCGCTGCTTGTGTTGTCTCGGCGGCGGAGGTCTCGGCTGTGTTCGTCGCCGCGTCGCCTCCTGGCGCGACGGTGTTGAGGTCGGGTGCGTTCTCGATCTGGGCGAGGACTGTGGGTGCGACTACGAGCAGCAGCCCCACGAAGCCGACAGAAGGCCGCATCGTGGTTGTGGTGTATAGGTGTGTGCGGAGGTAGGGTTGCCGTTGGGCAGTCTTCGAAAGGGCTCGGAAGACCCAGCG